AGCCTATCATTACCCCCATTTTACAGATGAGCAAATGGAGCCTCAGAGAAACTGACGGAGATCACATGGTTGGTTAGTGGCAGAGCTATGAGCTGGACACGCCAGAGCCTGGGAAATAACACTGCCCACCCAGACACCTTAGGCAGGCCCCTGTGGGTCCCCTACTGCTTGGCCTTAACTGACCTCGCTCTCCCCCTGGTGTGTGGCACGGCTTGAGAACCAGTCAGTCCCTACATGTGGCTGGAAAAATGCTTCAATGTAGGAACCGTGACAGGCCCCTTCCACCCTGTGGCTGAGAGCAGAAGTGGCAGGTCTTCAGGGAATGGAAGCAGAGAGGCTGTGGGGTCAAAATCAGTGCGGATCCCACCAGTGCTGGCCACCTCCACCAACCACGGCCGCCTACCATCACAGTGGCCTCCTCCTGCCCACCCCTGGGAATACCTGGGGTACACCAGGTGAGAGCCAGTCCTCCTCTGCTCAGGACTCCGGCTCCACCTCACTGGGTAAGAGTCAGAGCCCTCGCTGTGCCCACTAGGCCGCCCCACACCATCTGGCAGGTCCCCGCTGCCCTCAAGCTCCTCCCATTCTCCCTCTTCCTCACTCTGCGCCAGCTGCATGGAACCTGTTCCCAAACATGCCAGAAACATTTTCACCTCAGGGCCTTTGCACTGCTCTCTCCCAAGATCTCTTCCTGATTCCCATTTTCCAGGAGTCGGCCTGGGTTCCTCTTCCCAGGCTGTGACTCTTGGTGGAGGTCTTGGCATGTGTGACCCCAGTCCTCTAGCTAACACAGGTAGGGGGGCCCCAGCGGGTCCAAGGCCCTCACATTACCTTTCGGGCTGTGCCCCCAGAAGGGTAAGCTGGCGACTTCCGCAGCACAGCCCCGGGACGCAAGGCCACGTGCCTCTGGCCTGCCTGGGAGCGCCCGGCTGTCAGCCCTACACAGAGCCGGAGCCTCTGACTGACCCTAAACAGCTCTGACAAACTGCTCTGGAACCAGGAAGGTCTGGAGTGTGCTGCCTCAGGAGAGCGCAGGGGGCCAGGTGGCTGCCCGCCTGGGATCGCTCGGCCCACTGCGGTGCCCACGGCAGGCACTGGCGCCTGGCGGTGCGCCTGGCAGCCCGGCTCCCATGACGAGCGTCTGGGGGAGTCTGAAGTCACTGAAGTCATGGGGGGGGGGGCACAAGCTGCTACACGCTGCAGCACCTTCCCCAGCAGGGCTGGGGTGTAAGAGGGTGTGGGGGTTCCCTGTTTGAGCATGACAGCACGCATCCCTTTTCCAGCAGCCCTCAAATTTTGCTGGCAAACTCCCTCCTTTCACCCCCAAACTAATCTACTTGCCCTAGAGTAGCCCAGAGTGCTTCCCTCCCCAGGCCTCACTGTCATCTAACATATCAATAATACGGTAGCTCAGTTGTCTGTCTGTCTGCCTCGCTCTCTCCAGAAGCTACACAAGGGAGGACTTTGTTCCCTGCTACATCGCCACGCTGGGAATAGTGTCCGGCATACATTAGTGCTTTACGGTCAGGCCTGCCCGGTCCCGCTCCCCTCTCCTCTCCAGGATCCCAACGTTCCGGGCTGCAGCGGCCTCGGCCCTGACTGACGCACCTCGTCCCGGACCTGTGTCTGTCTCCCTCCTGCCCTGCAGCGCCACTTGCTGAGGCATCCACAGGTCTTTGTCTTCTGGTCCAGGCCCCCTTCCTTCTCACTCACATCCAGCCTCAGCCTCAGCCCCAGCACAGCACTATCTTTCAAAACATAAATCTGTCTGCACTATGCTTTTCTGCTGAAAACGTTCCTTGCTGCCCGCAGCTCACAGGATCGAATCTAAACTCCGCAATGTGCCGACAGGGCCTTGCGTGGTCTGCTCCTGCTGACCGCCACGGGCACTGCTGCCCCCTCGGCTTCTACATCTGAGCCACAGGCCTGTGTTCGGTGACCTGATGGCACTCACCCTCTTCCTTACCTCAGGACCTTTGCACATGCTACTTGCACAGGGACACCCTTTCCACATCCCATCTTTTCTTTCTCTCTCTTTTAAAATATAAATTAATTTAAAAATCCTCACCCGAGGATATTTTCCCAATCTTCAGATAGAGTGGGAGGGAGGGAGAGAAACATCCACGTGAGAGAGACACATCGACTGGGTGCCTCCCACATGTCCTCGACCAGGGCTGGGGACCAAGCTGCATCCGAGGTACATGCCCTTGACTGGAATCGAACCCATGACTCTTTGGTCTGCAGGCCGATGCTCTAACCGCTCAGCCAAACTGGCCAGGGCTCCTTTCTCTCTTTTTAAAAAAACTGCCCACATATAGCAAAGTGTACAAAACATAGAGGTACAACTGAAAAAATAGTTATACAGCAAACACCCATATAACTGCATCCCTGGTCAAGACTATATTTTATTAGCACCCTGGACCCCCCAAACCACTTCACCTGCTCCCCCCCACCCTTCTCATCTTCGGCTGAGATGACCTCGGGGAAACTGCCCTCAGGCTCGACTAGGCCTGCACTGGCATCCACCCTCAGCCCAGCGGGTCTGCTCTGGAGCTTCCCGTAGGCACAGCTGAGTCATCGCTAGGCCTGTGCTTGCTGCCTTCTCCGGTGCCCTGCGAGTGCCCGGATGGCCTGCCTGCCTGCCTGCCCAGCAGAGGGCCAGGCACACAGCGGATGCTCGCTGTGCGAATAACACAAGGTGCTACCTATGAAGTGCTGTGCTAGAGACAGGCAGCTACTGAGCGCTGCTGCCTGCTCCCGACGACAGTGGTGGCAGGCTGTCACTCCGGCGTGGCCCAGGGGATGGGCTGACAGGCGATGCCGAGGGCAGGGTGGCCAGCAGCAGGCAGAGGCGTGTGGGACCCTGAGCATAGGTGCTCAGCGACCATCTGGGAACCTGTGCCGATGGCGATGGGAAGACTGTGCGAGGACCAGTGGAGTGAGGCGGGTGTGAGACTGGGTTTTGCACATCTGTCTAAGAGCACTGCCCTCCTGGTTCCTGGTCAGCTCAGCCTCTTATGCCCAGGAAGACCCTCCTCCAGCTGGGTCAGGCTCCCTCACTGCGGGCGCTTTCCTTACCCACCAGCACTGTTTGGGGACCGATCTGCCTCCCTCACTGGGCTCTGGGCTCTGAGAGGGCAGACCTGAGGCTGTCTCGGTGTCCCCGCATTGCCGGTCACAGGCGTGGCCCAGGAGAGAAACTGTGATTTACTCAGTCGGAGGCAGATGTCATCTTTTCCTAACACTCCTGTGGTTCTAATGACAGCCAAACTGGATTTGAGATGCACCCCAGGTACGAAGCGCTCTACAAACTCAAGCTCATTCAATCCTCACTGCATCCCTAGGAGGCAGTTGTGTAATTTATCCTCCATTTCACAGACGAGGAAACAGGCCCAGAGAGGTTCAGTCATTTGCCCAAGGCCACACAGCCAAGACAAGGCAGAGGGACGGCAGAACCCTGGTGGGCTGACCCTGGAGACCACACTCTCATCTACCATGAAGGTGTTTTATACATCCACTCATTTAATTCTCCCGAATTTGCCCAAGGCGGTACCTACAAAGTCAGAGGATGAGTGGTAACACTTTCCTTAATACCCATGAAAGCAAACACACATCCATTTAAAACACATTCTCCTCCTGTACCGCCCAAATCACCTCCAGCACCCCATTTTGGGAAATGCTGTTCCACACTAGCGCTGGTTGCCTAGGAGAAAACTTCCGGAAGCAGCTTTAACGAGTAGATTAGAATGATGTGCAATTAGCACAATTGTCTGTATGCAAATTAAAGCTCCCAACCATAGGGCTCCCTTCCTAGCAGGCTCCTCCCCCACATCATTGTCTTCATTTCTGGGTTCAGCAAATCCTTCTCTCAGACACAGGGTAATTTTATACCCACCTCCTGCCTCGGCCACAGCCTGCTCCCCAGCGCTGCCCACCTGGATGTCAGATTTCACAACCCTCCAGTTACTCGGGTCACCAATCCAGGCCTGTGCCAGCCCCAGGGGCCACCGCAGCAGAGTCCGGGGGCCCCGTGACACTGAGTCCCTCTGGGTGGGTGCACTTTGACATCTGTCTCGGTGAGGTGAGGGCTGGGGGCCTCGTCCAAGTTTGCTCATTATTTCTTCTCAACGCCCAGCACAGTGTCTGGGACATAACAAACCCCAAACAGATATTTGTGAGTGACGTGAATGGAGAAATGAATGAGGGAGCTGTCAAAAGAGCCCGTGAGTTCCCATGATTAAGGACTACCCTGCCTGTCTACAGGTGGTTCTCAAAGTGGATCTGCTGGGAACTTTAAAAAAATGCATATCCTTCGACCCCGACTCTGACCTTCATTAGAAACTCTGAGTGAGACCCAGCCCTCCAGGGGACCGTGTGGGCCCATCCCCCTTACTGTGTGGCTGGAAGGCTGCACGGGGAGCTCGCAGACCTCCCTGCAGCTGGGAGGGGCACGCGGCTGCGTGCTGAGAAGGGTTTGGGAAAGCTGTGCCTTCTCCATACAAAAGGAGCCACACAGAGGCTGCCATCTTTCCTCTGTCCCCCCCACACCCAGGGCCTCCAGGGCCACCTGCAGACCAGGAAGTCGGGGTGTAGGATAAGGATGGCGGAGACACAGATGCCAGGCCTTGAGGCTCCTGGGCTGCTGCATCCCTGGCTCTGTCCTCTCTGGACCTCCCTTCAGGGGCTGTCAAACCTCTGTTTAAGCCCCTGTAGGTCAGGTTTCCTGTTACCTCCAGCCAAACACTCCTCACAGAGAGTCTGTGACCCCAGAAGGCACAGAAACCACGGGTCTCAGCAGAGGGAGAGGGAAAGAGAGGGAGGACATCAGGGACAGATGAGAGCCCCCCAGCTAGGGGTTTCTCCATGAGCCTCCCGACTCAGAGCAAGCTCATACATCTGTGAGCATGCTTCTGGGGTGCGGGGGCTGCCATCCGGAGTATGGGGGAAGCAGAGAGGGGTCAGGGCCCCCTGAAGGGCCCGGGAGAGGAGGAGTGCCTTACCTGGTCTGTCTGGGTGGGTTGCGACTGCCCCCTGCCAGGCCTGTGGGGGTGCTGGAGCCCGAGTTGTACAGCTTTGGTCGGTAGGCCTTGCTCTGGCCAGCAAGCACAGGGGCGGGCGAGACCTCCCGTCGCCTGTCTGCATGGTGGGAACGCCCGGTGGCCTCGTGCCCACCTCCGCAAAGGCCAATACTTCCTGGGGGCTTGTGTGGCTTGGCTGGTCGAGGTGCCTTGGCCAGTGACATGCAGCTGGGGCTGGAAGTGTAGAGGGTGGTGTCAATGCCACTGTCGCTGGATCCGCCCTTGGAGAGAGGGTCTTGCTCTGGCTCCAGAGGGTCCAGGGGATCGAACCAGCGGTCGTCGCTGTGGCTGCTGGATGCGTTGCTGGACAGGGTATTGCTGCTGGAGTGACTGGAGTACTGAGGTTCTCCCTGGAAGGCAAGAGAAGTGTCATCCCTGGGCTCCAGGATGGGGCAAGCGTCCCCACCCACTTATTCCCTGCATGACCCCTGGAGCCAGGCAGCTTCCAACATTGGCCATGTGACCTTGGCCCAGTGCCTCAGTTTCCACATCTGTAAAATGGGATTGATAATAACCACCTCGTGGGGTTGCTTGGAGGGACGACATTATGAATTTGACATGAGCTCACCACTCAAGCTCAACACCCCTGACTCTCAGCCCCTGGCCTTCCCCCTGAACTGCCTCCCTGTCTCAATGATGGCACCTGCATCCTTCAGCTGTCCCACCCGAGCGCCTTGGACCCTGGACCCTGCTTTTGATCTCCTTCCATGTCATCCAACAGTAAATCCTGTTGCAAGTGTCTTCAAATCAGATCTTAACCCACTGCCTCCCGCTGGTCCACGGCAGCAGCCTCCTCTGGGGTCTCCCTGCTCCTGTCCTTGTCTCCCCGAGCCCCGCCCGCTTGCTCCCTCCATGCAGCCAGAGGGAGGCTGTGAGTACCGGTGTCAGCTCATGTTCCGTCCCTGTCTGAACTCTCCCGTGGCTCCATCTCACTCAGGGTTTGAAAAGCAAAGGTCTTTGCCAAGGCCCCCAAGCGATCTGGTCCCATGTTCTGGTCTCAAACATCACCTCCCTCTGCTCCAGCCACATGGGCCTCCTTGCTGCTCTGAGCATGCCAGGCACACCCCACTTCAAGGCCTTTGCACCTGCTGTTCCCTCTGCCTGCAAAGCTCCCCCCCACGTGTTCATGGATCACCCCTTACTTCATTCAGGGTTCTGGCTTACAGCTCACCTCATCAGAGGTCTTCTAACCACTTCAGCATAAAAAGCCCCTTCTCCCTTAATTGTACTTTGTTTTCCTTCCCCTGCAAGGACCAGTTCTTGGTGTTTCAGGATGTGTCTATCTGCTTACTGCTTGTTGCCCCAATGGCATGTCAGCTGTGTGAGCACAGGGGTCCGTCTATTCTCTTCATCACGGTGGCCCCAGTGTCTGGCATGTTGCAACTGCTCATCAAACTCTCACTGAATGACTGGATGTGAACAGACTGCCAAGTGCTCACCAAAACTATCTCCTCCTCTTGGACTACATTTCCCAGCTTCCTTTGCAGTGAGGCGTGGTCAAGGATGAAGTCTGGGCCGATGTAAGTGAAAGTGATTTATGCTATTTCCAGACCTGGGCTACAGACACTTCCCACGTGAACCTGTCTCCCTCCCACCCCACCTATTGGAGAGGCAGGAACCCAGCAGAGGGCTCCATGGCCTGAGGGACAGTGGAGCCACAAGAAGGATAGAGTCTGGGTCCCTGAATCACCATGTCAAGAGCTGTTCAGTGAACACCTGCGCTGAATTGTTACATGAGAGGGAAACAGACCCTGTCGCATGAGGTCGATGAGAGGTGGGGACTGCCTGTATAGCTGCTGACCTACTGCTATAGACTGAATGTCTGTGTTCCCCCCAAATTCCTATGTTGAATCCTGGTCCCCGGTGTGAGGGTGTGAGGAGGCAGTGCCTTGGGGAGGTGATCGGGTTATGAGGGTGGAACTCTCATGAGTGGAATTTTTAAATCCTTATATGTATGTACCTATTTATTCCTATATGTATATTTATATTCCTAGTGAATGGGATTATAAAATCCAAATGCGTATTTACACCCTTATCAAAGGGCCCCGAGAGCCCCCCTGCCCATTCTGCCACAGGAGGTGGGAGGGCTGCCTACGAACCAGGACGCGGCCCTCACCAGACACCGAATCCGCCTGCGCCCTGGCCTCGGACTTCCCGGCCTCCAGAACGCCGAGAAACACCGCAGTTCGCAGACGCTAACCCAGTGGACAGCATCTTCGGTACAGAGCCCGAGCTGAAGTCACCTACCGTGACCGACGTGACAACGAGGGGAGTGCGGCCCGAGGAGCGGAGACACGCCTGGAGCCAGGACGTGCGCCTGGCTGGTTCTGAGCCCAGCAGTCAGCCCCGCTGCCCGAGTGCAGGTGGCGGAGGTAGGGAATGTGCGCACATGTGGAAGGAGAGGCCCCGGACCACACCCACACCGGGCAGGCGAAGCTGCCCGGCCCACAGCAGTCAGGGCAAGCCCGGCAGCCCAGTCCCACGGCTCTGCTCCTGGGTGGGGCGCTGGGGCCCAGACTCACTTTGGAATGCCTGTTGGGGGAGTCTTTGCCTGCTGCGTCCTGCCTGGCGCTGTGTTTGCTCCCGCTGCTTCCAGCCAGGGCTGAGAGCCGGGCCTGGGCGGGCACATGCCACAGAGGCTCTGCAGGAAGACAGGAGACGCATCAGTGGTTAGAGGTGACTCAGGTCCTGGCCTGAGTCCATCCAAAGAATCTGGCCCTAAATATGGCCTGTGATGGAGCCACCCCTCTGCCAGCCTGTCTGCTCAGCTCATACGGGGCCATGACCCCATCAACTTACGTCTTCAGGGTAGGACAATGCTCAGTAATGGAATATTTACTGGGCACTTGCTCTGTGCCAGGCCCCACTCTAGTGCTCTGCATGGGTGAACTCGTCAAAGCCTCAAACAACCTCCATCTTTGTCCCCAGAGGAGGCTGTGCACATTTTCATCCTTACTTACTGACCATTTGTATTTATTTTGTAAATTACCTGCTCGTATGCCTTATCCAGTTTTCCATGGAATCAACTATCTTTGATCTTATTGGTATACAGGATTTTTTTTTTTTAATCCTCATCCAAGGACATTTTTCCATTTTTGTTCAGATGAAGTGGGAGGGAGAAAGAGGGAGAGGAAGAGAGAGAGAGAGAGAGAGAGAAACATCGACGTGAAAGGGACACACTGAGTGGCTGCCACCCACACAACCCAACCAGGGCCGGGGACAAACTGCAACCGAGGTACGTGCCCTTAGCGGGAACCGAACCCGGGTCTCTCTGGACTGCAGGCTGACGCTCTAACCGCTGAGCCAAACTGGCCAGGGTGAAGCTCTCTTATTTTTAACAGCTGTACAGTATTCCATCACGTGAAAGGACACACATTATTTAACCAGTTTCCTATCAGTGGACATTTCAGTTATCTGCAATTTTTCTTTACAACGTTTTGGTGGCTTTCCCTTGACACACGACTTTGAGCAAGTGTAGGACTGTGTCTGGAACAGAATTCTACAAGTGGAATTGCTGGTTCAAATGTGAAACAGGTTTAAAATCATGATGGCTGGGCCCTGGCTGGTTTAGCTCAGCGGTTGGAGCATCAGCCTGCGGACCAGAGAGTTCCGGGTTCAGTTCCCACTAGGGGCACGTACCAAAAAAAAAAAAAATTTTTTTTTGCCCTGGCCAGTTTGGCTCAGTGGTTAGAGCGTCGGCCTGCGGTCCGGAGAGACCCGGGTTTGGTTCCCGCTAAGGGCACGTACTTCGGTTGCAGTTTGTCCCCGGCCCTGGTTGGCCGTGCGGGTGGCAGCACTTGATGTGTCCCTTCACGTCGATGTTTCTCTCTCTCTCTCTCCCTCCCACTCTATCTGTACAAAAAATGGAAAAATATCCTTGGGTGAGGATAAAAAAAAAAAAAAATCATGATGGCTGGTGTGGGTGTAAATTAGTCTAAACTCCCAAAGCCAATGAGCCTGAAGTGGGCATCCGACCTTAAAAAACCCACCGAAGGAGAGCTGGTTAATATCCATCAATCTTGCCCGGCTGGTGGGGCTCAGTGGTTGAACGTGGACCATGCACTGAGAGGTCATCAGTTCGATTCCCGGTCAGGGCACAGGCCCAGGTTGTGGGCCCGATCCCCAGTGGGGGGCATGCAGGAGGAGGCCAGTCGATGTTCTCTCTCATCCATGTTTCTATCTCTCTCTCCCTCTCCTTTCCTCTCTCTCTAAAATAAATAAAGAAAAAAATAAAAAATCAAAAACCTATCACCCTTATAGACGCTCTGGGACTGGGGCCTGGGGCCAGGCAGGGCACCCAGGGCCACTCGAGCAGCCTGTCTGACGCAGCTGAGGGCCCCTGCCTGTGCGGCTTTCACCTGGGAAGCACGGCAGTGAGCGCAGGGAGCCCGGCCACCGCTCTCCCTCGGGGGTGAGTACCCTCTGTGGAGCATCCCACACGCCCAGGGGTGCTGTCTCCGGGAGGCGGCTAGCCCATGCCGGGAAACCACATTCTACAGACAGCCAAGCTGTGGCTGTCACATCCAGTCCTCACTACCACCCACGACCCGGATGACGCACACATTTCTGTCTCTGGTCTGGGCTCTCCCCTGACTTCACGCTTGTATAGACGGCTGGGCACCTCCCACCGAACGTGGCCAAAGCCAACTCCTTGTCTTCGCCCAAACCTGCATCTCTCAGTGTTTCCTGCTTGGTCAATGGCTGCTCCATCCGTTCAGCTCCTCAGGCCAAAAACCTGGTCTCACCTTTGACTCCTCTCTCTCTCAGACACACTGAGGCAGGAAGTTATGTCAACTCTACCTTCAGATGACGGTGTCCAGAACCCACCCATCTCTCCCCCTCTTCTGTTCCCAACTGGCCACAATATGCAGCAAGAGAAGCCCTGTGATCCCGAGCCAGACCCTCCCACCATTCTCCAGCCACACGGGGCTTCTACTGCCCCGACACTGGCGTCACTGCTAGCTCAGGGCCAAGGACTGACTGCCCTCCTCTAGGATGTCCTCCCAGCCGGCTCCTTCGCACTCTTTCAGCCTCGCCTGACGTGATTTGCTCAGAGATTCTCCCGAGAGCTGTTGATCTCCCTCTCGGCACTGCCCCAGTTCCCACCGACGCTCAGCGTCACGGTGGACTTGGCGCTGTGTGCCCTGTCCACCGTCTCTCCCAGCACACTGTCAGCCCCAAGCAGGCGGGGGATGTGCCTGTTTGGCTCCCACCGAATCTCCGGTGCTCAGCCTGGTGTACCGTTAGTGAAGGGCCAGGTCCCTTCCCTCCCCGGCTGCCCCAGCGTCCCTGGCTCTGCCCTTGGCCGGCCCTGATCCTGGATCCTTCACCAGTCCTCTGAACTGGCCCCCAGTGACCTTGTGACCTGTGCTCTCCTTCACATGCTGACGTGGCCGCATGGACTCGGGGCAGCTGGTGATCCTGGGGACACCTTCCCAACCTGGGTGCTCTGAGGCTTGAGAAACCACCACACTCCGTGGGTGAGGAATTGTGGGTGGAGTCTGTGGACAGTGGGGGGCAAGGAGGCGGTTCTAGAACCCAACAGGCCTTGGTTCAGATCTCATCGCTGTCACTTATCAGTAGGAACCTCAGCCAACCGACCACCTTCCTGTGCCTCGTCTTCCCCTTTCTAACGGGCAGCAACGTGCCCACTCTGCTGTGACCCTGCAGTGACTGAGAAACTGGTGGTGTGGAGCACCTGTCCAGCGCTGGGCACACAAGCACACATCTCCGTGGTGCTGTTAACTATGACTGTCACCCGATGCAGGCAAACCCTGTCTGCTGTGCTGCCTGATCCCCCAGCCCGAGCTACCTTTTTTCTGGATCCTGAACCCATTCCAGACTTCATGATGCCTGCCCTGATTTGGGTGGGGCCCGGGGAGGGGGAGGAGGTGTCAGTCAATTTATAACAAGGTCCTGAGGAGGTGAGAGGGAACCCAAACTCTAGGAGACAGAGAGCAGATAGGAAGGACAACGGGGAGTTTCTTGACACTTTAGTTGGGGCCCATGGTGAACCCTGGAAAAAATGTCCTCCTCATTTTACACTTTAGTGTAATGAAATCACCAAGCAATACTTTTCTCTTTTTCTGAACTGGGCAGATGTGAAAAAAAAGATGTAAATCTGTCTGTTGGGACGAAGGTCCTAGACTCGCAGCGGGGCCAGGCCTTGCAGGGCAGCCTGCTGGCCTGAAGCGCATCTGTCCTCCTGGTTTAAGGGAGCCCCAGGGCTGGGATGCCAGTGACGTCCCTGGGCCGCCAGGCCTGGGCTATGCGACCTCATCCCCACCCCATGGTGCCTGTGACTGTGGGAGCAGGTCCCGTGCCGACATGGCCACCTGAGCTGCCTGGAAATTCTGGAACATCCCCTAAGCAGACACCTCTACCTCTTCCCCCTCCAACGTCTGACAATTTCACTGGTTTTCTTTCTTTGGAATCCACTCATTCATCTGATGGTTCTGACTCCAAAGGGGCTACAGTTTGTTGTGCAAAACTATGTTTAAAATATTCTCCTGGCTAGTGTGTCAGTTGGTGAGCGTCAACCCATGCACCAAGACGTCGCTGGTTCGATTCCTGGTCAGGGCACATGCCGAGGTTGTGGGCCCCATCCCCAGTGAGGGGCATGCAGGAGGCAGCCAATCGATGTTCTCTCTCATCAATGTTTCTATCTCTCTTTCCCTCTCCCTTCCTCTCTAAAAATCAATAAAGAAAAAAAAATTAGAAAAAGAATATTCACCTACGGGCATGTGCCCACGACAGTCATTATATGTAGCAGAATAAGCAATGAGAAGGTGCTCAGTCTCATCAGGCACCAGAAACATGTAAATAAAACCACACGTGCTCCTACCACACGGCCGAAACAAACAGGCTGGGGAGGACGCGGAGCAACCACGGCCAGAGGGCACTGGGGTGTGCAATGGCCTCTCGCTTTGGGAAAGGCCTGGCAGTCTCTCACCAAGAGGCACACATGACGCAGCAGCCCCACGCCCAGTCTAGCCCACGGGCACGCGAGCCTGTGCTCGCCGACAGACAGACGGCACTACCCTCACCACCCTCTCCTAGGCGGCCCCAGACTGGAACTACCCAGTGTCTACCAACACGCGACCGGAGTCATCGGTTGTAAGTCTTTCCGACAACGGAACGAACACCACTCAGGGACTGTGTGGCGACCTACAGTCACGTGGCCAGCTCCCACCAACGCCACACCGAGAACAGAAGCAGACACGCACCGAGCGTGCCTACGTTCCGCATACGTGGAATTCAGCACCAGGCAGGAGGCCGTCGGCCGCTGAAAGCAGGACGGGGCGGCCGGTGGGGGTCCCGACGGGGACGGACACGCGCCGTGCTCTTGCCCCGGGTGTGGAATGTGGGATGTCGGCTTGGTGATGTGTTAGCACACTGGACACTCGTGACTTGGGCTCTTTTCTCGGCATGTGCTGCACTTGTGTAACAGTCAGAAATATAACACGGGGGCCGGCAATGAGCAGCCTCGGCCCCGCGGGCCCCGCGGGCCCCGCCCCGAGAGCACCTCGGTCACCTTCCGGCACCTTCCTCGGGCGCTGCCACCTGCACGTCCGTCTGCGCCTGAATCCTGACTGACAGTGCGGGCAGACACCCTCTCCTGGATGGAGGACCCCTCCCTGGTCCCCGCTGCCCTCCGGGGCGCCCTCTCTAATCCCAGTGCGGCCCTCACGGCTTTCCCGTTTCACCTGCCTGCCAGGAGGGAGCAGGGCCTGCGCAAACCTGCCTACCTGGCTTCTGACGCTCCATCGTGCTCTCCTGGCTGGTCAGGCCCCCCGAGGAGGAGTCCCCGCTGGATGTCCCATCGTGGCCGAAGTGGGGATCAAAAGACAGCAGTGGGTGTGGGGCGGCCGCATACCTGCAGGGGGAGAGGAGGCAAGCGCAGGGTGAAGGGCTGATGTGCCAGCCGCCACCTGAGTCCGGGACTTGCTCTCAGGGGGTTTTAAATACAGGAGAGGCTCCGGGTGGAGGGCGGCTAGATGAGTAAGCTTGGAAACGTGCTGTAACCTGAGGGTCAGAATGAGTCTCGCCTGGGAAGGAGGCCAAGGAGCGCTGGTGGCAGGGCGTGCAGGGTGAGGAGGGGTCCTCAAGGGAGAGGTGGTGGACGCCTTCCCTGGGGCCTCTCCTCCCAGCGGCATTCTCTGTGCCCCGGAGTGGGTCCCGTGAGCACCTCCCAACACCCACCCCACCCCGAGCAGTCGGTCGTGACAGACACCCGCCTTGCCTGGTTGGTTCGGGGCCAGGCAGATGACACAATTTAGGCCACCGAGATGTGAGAGGGTGTGAGCTACTGAGACTCCCACAGAATGCTCGGGCTGTCACCCGGCAGGCCCGTGGCAGGGCTGCACCTCCCGGCCCCTTCAGGTTGGCCAGAGGGGCTGGGTGACTGGTGCTGGTTACTGCATTGTGAGGGGAGTGACTTGGAGGTGGCGGCTGCTCGGGCAGCCTGCGTCCCGAGAGATCTTCTGCCAACTGACAGTGGGGGTGCGAATAAATCTTTATTGATACAAGTCACTGAGCCTTGCAGGTGTTTGTTGCTCAGCATAACCTGACTGACATGGGGAAAGTCCGCTGGGGGTGCTTCTGGGAGAAGTCTCTTGCTCTTCAGAGAGCTGACGAGGAGAGATGGCTGCTTTTCTTCATCCAGGCATTGCTGGGTCCAGACAACACCAGGAGTCCCTGGTTGCCCCTCACTACAGCCTGAGGGTGGATGAGGCCAGCACTGAGGTGGAAGAGAGGAGGCGAAGGAACCAGGCCCTCGACAACATTGTCGAAATGCTTGATTCACCTCCCCCGCAGCCTGCGCTACCCCTGGGCCTCCTCTTCTGTGAGAACAGAGTCCTACATGGTCAACTGGCTACAACCAGTCACTTGCCGCTGGAAGCACCCCACTGGCACAGGCCCTGTGTTCGGGGGGTCACTAGGCCTCTATTCATCAAGCTGATGTGGACAGTCCCCATTCGCTGCTTGAGTCTATACTTGCAAACTGGAACGGTGATAACCGGGACCCCCAACATCCCAAAGAGAAGTTCACTTCTCTGGGGTTACCCCGCCAGCCACAAAGCCGGGGCTACCTCTGCAAAGACCAACTCCAGACCCCTCGGCTTCGCTGCCTCCAGGGCAGCAGAGGGCTGCGTCCGAGGTGCCCTGGATTTTCTGAAAACTCACCCGACTCACCTGCCCAGAGTGTGCACTCTCCCAGCCTTCCCAGACCCTGGCTGCTAATGCCTCCGGGGCAGGAAGACAGAGCCCCACCAGTAAGAAAGCACAAGCCGTCTTCACCTTACGGGGCGGCCTGGCGACCAGGTAAGATGTGGTAAGATGTGGCTCCACTACACCTTGGACACTGAAGTGTGGACGTGTTTATTCCGTTTTTCCAAAACGCCTGTATCAAGTCCTGAGCACTACAGAAAAACGCCAGCCGTGGCTGGGGTCGGCCAGCGGAAAGCGGAGGGGACAAGCGGCAGACACCGCTCCACTAGTCTCTGCTCCCGCCCTGCCACCAGAACCCCGACGGTGTCTGGGGCAATGAGTCCGTTGACAGACTCCATTTCTCAGGCTCCCATGCAGTCTGGCCAGTGAGATACAAGGGCTGCCCGTGACTTCCAGGAACTCGCTGGAGGTGAGCTGTGGGGCCCTGGCCTCACCACTTCCTCAAGGCTGAAGTTCCAGCAGGTGACAGGCCAAGGATGGCAGAGCACTGGTGAGGAGGAGCCTGGGTCCCTGACAATGTGGGAGAAAGAAAGAAACTATCTCGTCTGAATATCCGTTTTCTGTATTTTGCAGCTACACCTAATCCTAACTTTAGTGGGACATATTTACTATGCTTCCTCTCTCAGCTCCTGTCCTCAACCAAGTGTACTTTGTCCACTCATGTAGTAGTCCCAGTGCAAACTGACGGACCGATGCTGAGTCTTTGGGGTGCTGAACACGCCCTATTTGGGGCCATTCTATTACTGCCGCATCTGGTCAAGTTGGAAATCGGGCCATTCCAGCATCGTACCGTGCACAGCTCTGGGCAAGAATCCCAGAACAAGAGATCAAATGGATCTTTAACCTCATCTGAGAAAATGTAATGTAGTCTTATCTTTTCTCGGAATTGGAAATCACTTAAAAGCCAAAGAGTTTGGAGTTTTAGTGAGGAGCTAACCAGCTGCCGTTTCAGGGACCTCCAGGCACAAGCTGGACAGACTGACTGACCCTGGGGAAGCCTGGGCGGGGGTGGCCGTGGATCAGTCGGCTGCTGGGACGTTGGCCTTGAGCTTTGCCGCAGAGGAAAGTAACCAGACAGACGTGAACGCGAGGAAGAGCCTGTCTGGGGGAGGGCCCTGGCCTGCTGTCGACCCCCTAGCCTGACTCATGGGACAGTGGAAGGGCGAATTCCAGGATGATGGAGTAAAGGCCAGCCATCATCACCTTGGTCCTTGCTGGTGGCGCCCAGGTTCTGCTCTCGTGGCCGTCCCTCTGCCACGTAACTTGAGTAAATTCCAACAGTTTAAGACGTTGTGTGGGTCCAATGTGACCTTGCCAGGGGTTGACTCAGGGCTCGGCACTCTTGAAAACAAAGAGAAGCTCTTTCCTCTGCTTCCGCAGGGCACTGGTTTTGCTCGGGGCCACAGGAGCCATCAGGGGTCATGCGTGGGGCTGGTCCCTGAGGAGCCCACTGCAGAACTAACCAGCCCTACAGCCACCCCAACTCTGCACTTACCACGTGATGTTAACCCCCCCGAATTCTCCCTGCCTTCTCGAGGTGGGCTTTCTGTCACTCCATGAAAAACCATGACCCACTCTTTATGGAGCCGGAGGAGAAAAACAGGACAAAAATCAAAGCCAACCAGGTGGTCTAATGGGCAAAGTCTAGGGTCCAGTCCAGCCCTGCAGGCTTGCAGAGCGGGCACACTCTTCTGCCCTAACACTCTGGACTGAGTTGGGTGGTCTGTTATTCTTGCACAGGAGGGGGGCAACCCCCGGAGGACAGGGACAGCATCTGCCAGCCTCTGTACCCCAGCTGCCGGCACAGGTGCTGCCACACTCGGCGGTATCAGTCGTCACCCTCATGGAGCGCTTACTCCATTTTTTTATCCTCACCTGAGGATATTTTTACATTTATCTTCAGATAGAGTGGGAGGGAGAGAGGAAGGAGAGAGGGAGAGAGAGAAACATTGATGTGAGAGAGACACATCAATTGGTTGCCTCCTGCACGACCCCAACCGGGGCCGAGAATGAACTGCAACCGAGGTACGTGCCCTTGACCGGAATTGAACCCGGGACTCTTTGGTCTGTCGGCCGACGCTCTAACTGCTGAGCCAAACTGGCTACGGCTAGAGCGCCTGCTCTGTACCTTTCCAAGAGCTCTAAAGGGCGGCCCTCCTTGAATGTTCTCACACGGCCCAGAGACAGACATTGTGCAGGTGAGCAGTCGGAGGTGCAGCGGGAACGCCACTGGCCCACTCACGGCAGACAAGGGGTAGGCCAACTTGCCATCCTGTCTCTCAGTAAATCTAAGAGGGGCCATGAGAAAGGTCCTGTCTGAGGGCCTCTGCTTTCCTAAGGGTGGCAACCTGCTGGACAAGACAGCATGAGCCAGAGGGGCCCTGAAGGAGAAATGTCGGGGCTGGGCTGGAAGGTCTGTCTTGGGTCACATGGGCCTCCAGGATGTCCTGGGGCAACTGTGCAGCAGGACACGGAGAAAGCGGCTGAGGCCAAAGGCCGCCGGGGCAGCGCCGCCCTGTTCCCAGCCTCTTACGCAGGCTGGCGACTGCCTGTGGAAGATGCTTCTTGGGGCTTCGGGGATGATGTGTGCTAGGACCCTTTGGCAAAACTTGAAGCCCAGCTGCCAACAGAGAGAAAAGGGCCGCGACCTGGGCCACAGAGAGCAGAGGCAGGCTCCACTGGAGCCCTGGGAGAAGAGGGGTAGGCTGGGAAGAGCTGGGTCCAAGGGAAAAGCATTTGTTTCCCACTTGTAAACACTGGAGAGCCTAAATCACAGCCATCAAGTGTCACGGAGGGGTGGGGACCCGACAGGGACCATGCTTGTCACTTTCATTCAGAGGATGAGCTCAGAGTCCTTTGGCAGGAAGTCGCATTTGGGGTTGGGGCCAGCCCTCTGGCATCACACAGGCCTGAGTTCCCGTCCTGCTTCTGCCACTTCCTGCAAGAGTGACCCTGACCAAGTGCATTCATCTCATTGAACCTATTTCCCTGCTTTGTAAAATGGGATCATCCAACTATCCACCTTGTGGAGCTGCTGGGAACACTCACTGAGATCACGCACACAGGTCAATGGAACGGACTAGAGAACCCAGAAACAGATCCATGCCAATGTGCCCAATAAATTTCCCCTTCCGACGAATTTTTGCTTTGAGGGGCAAAAGCAAATGCTGGATGTGGAGCCTTCGCAATAAACGGTGGAGCAAACTGGACATCTGCAGGGAAAAAAGGGGAACTTCAACCTACACCTCTCACCTCATGTAAAAATTAATGCAAAATGAATCATGGACTTGCCCTGGCTGGTTTGGCTCTGTGGTTAGAGCACTGGCCTGTGGATCAAAGAGTCATGGGTTTGATTCCCAGTCAAGGGTTCGATCCCTGGCCCCAGTAGGGGTTGTGTGTCTCTCTTGCATACAACGATAGTGGACTTACAGGGTGTGTGCATTTCCTGGGAAAGAAGGATCCCTAGCTTTCACCAGATCCCTTAATTTGAAAAGAGGGAAGAGATTCTGACCTTTCCGGAGATGGCTTGTATCTGGCGTAGGTGGCTGAGCCAGGGGTGGAGAAGCTCCCAGAAGGCTGTCGGTAGGGAGGGGCTTTGTCGACCCCTGCTGGTGATGCTGGGTAAGGGGTTTCTGGGAAGCTAACAGGCCTGGGACAGGAGGGAGGAAGAAGGTGGGGTGAGTGAGGAGGATACCGCCGCCCTCACAGAGGTGGGACAGACAGATCTCTTGCTCAGGCCCAACCACATCCCATCTGCTTCATCTGCTACCCTCCTGTGGGGATGGAGAGAGCTGCTGAGCAAAGGGCAGCAGGAGGCTGGGAGCCCCTGCCCTCCCCTCCCCCTCTCCCACTTCCGCTTTTCTGACCCTCAGTCACTGCTGCCTGTTCCAGCCCAGCCCTGGGACAAGCTGCTTCTCTGCAGGTTAGATTCCCCCCTTTCTTGGAAGCCTTTATCTTCTGATACATAACATATTCAAAATAATTTATCTGTAAGGTATATGTCATCATAATAAACTCTGAACTAGAATAAACCCAAGAGCTAGAATGGTGGCAACACCTATAGACCCACGGGCTCCTCCCCTTCCCACATTCCCGCCTCCCCCAAGAAGTCATCACAGCCTGTATTTTGTGCTTTCAGTCCCCTGACCTTTTAAAAAACAGTTTTAACCAGACGTGGTATGGTGGATTTCCACCCCCGACACAGCTATCTGCACAGACAGGCTCCGAATATAAGCTGAAGGGCAGGGAGGCAGGCAGGCAGGGAGGCAGGCAGGCAGGGAGGTAGGGAGGGACGGAAGCGTAGGATAAGGAGAGGAGAAGGGGCAAGAGGGGACTAGAAAAAAGGGGAGAAGAGGGGGTGGTGGGGACAGGGTGATGCCCCTTGGGGGTCCTTACCTCTTGCTGTGCAGGGGCTGGGACTCCCGAAAGGGGACCATGGGGATCTGCTTTGGGGGCCGGCTCAGGGACTGAACGTGGCCGGGGGTAGCGGGAGCGGCCCACTTGGAGGCGGGTAGAGAGTTGTGGGAGGCGGGCCCACTCCACTGCCAGGGCGCATTGCTGCGGTAGGGGGGCCGGCCCCCAGGGGGCATGTTGTCCGGCTCAGGCTTGGGCTCCGAGGCATTCATGTCGTAGGTCTCTGGCCACCCCCTAGAAAGAGGAACTTTGTTACTCAGAAAGGTCCTGGCCCACCTGCACGCGTGCCTGCTGCCTGGTGAGCTCGCGGGCTTCCCTGGCCCAACCTGAACGGCGATGGCCTATTTCAGAGGCTGAGTGATACCCTTTAAATTGGTCTGAAACTTACCAGCTCTGAGTCCTCAACCAGGACAGGGCCCAACACGGGTTCTGTCTGCCCGGCTGCTTGACGTCATGCCCTCGCCCCTCTTCTCCCTCTGCAGCTTCCCTTCCTCTCCCTTCTCCCCGACCCCGGCCTCGAGTCAGCCAGTGTTGTCCGCCGACTGGCTCGGCCACCAGAAAGCCAGATGCCCTTAGGATCAAAGGATAGTATCTGCCTTGTTCCGAAGAAGCTCAAAGACAGCTGGAAGAGGAGCAGGTGACCTACTTTGCAGGGTGGTTAAAAAAAAAAAAAAAAAAAAAAGCTACAAAATCCAGAACCTTGAAATAAATACAGAAGGGCCCGTGACTGCCCCAGCCCAGGCGGGCACAGGGCGAGGTGCGCTGGGCTCCAGGTTCCAGTGGGGAGATCTGCGGGCTGGCTGGCGCTCTCCACCGGGGCTGCAGTGCGGCAGGGAGGGGGCTGAGCCCCAGGAGGGCCCTGCTCACGGAACCCACTTCCCAGCAGCTGTGGGAGCTCAGCTCGGAGTCCTTGGCTTGGAAGCCCTCATGCCCTCATTGAGCCAGTGCTCTGCGACTCTCCTGAGGCCCCTGGGCCCAGGAAACTTTCAGGGCCACCAGGCAAAAAATCTGGTGGACTTGGTGGCTGGGAGCCCAGCACATGGCTGCTCAGGAGTCATCAGAAGGTGGCCTGAGGCCGCGCTCTGGCGCCTGGGCTGCACCCTGAGCCCTCAGCAGCAGGAAGGCCCAGTGGACTTCCAGCAGCTCCTTCTGCCAGTCCCTCTGGACTGGTACCAGGTGAGGAATGACAAGAACACGAAGGCTGACGGCGCCCGCAGATACCCAGGCTGGGCGGAAGTGGAGGAGGGCGGCAGTGCGGCCCCAGGCAGCGCACACCTGCTGCTCCTGAGAACAGGTCTGTGTGCTCTGGGTGGGGCTGACCCCACTGCCTGGCTCCAGGTAGGAGCATGCAGCCCAGCCCTGGCCAGTCAGAAACCCCTCTCCTCCTGGACGTGACTGGCACAGGACTGCCATGGGCCCTAAAGTGGGGCCAATCAGACACCATGAGCATCAACTCGGGGACTATTTCTGGAACTACTGGAGGAAAATTCTATTTCCCTGGGGCTGCTGAGCTGGGGAGACCAAAGGCTGGAACTGTGAGGAGGGGGCCGTCTGTCCTACAAGGCAGGAGACAGCTTGAGGACAGCAATGCTGAGGAGGCAGGTGACAGACATTCCTGGCAAGGGTGTCCGAGTCCTTGCCTAGGGACATGCCTAAATCTTGCCCTGTTTCCTAGTCATGTCAAGCACATCAGCCAGTACAGTTCCTCTTCTGCTTTATCATGTTTGAGTTGGTTCTGCTGCTGGTAATCAGAGTCCTGATTAGCCCACTACACTTTAGAGAGAAGTACATTGAGGCACAGAGAAGTTAAGTAAACCGTCCAAGGTCACACAGGCAGTAAAAGGTGGAAACTGGATTTAAATACACTGTTGAGCTCTAGCTGGTATCAGTCAGTTGGTTGGAGCATTGTCCTGTGCTCTGAAGGGTCACGGATTCGATCCCTGGGGTCAGGGCACATATCCAGGTTTTGGGTTCCATCTTTGGTCGGGATGTGAATGGGAGGCAACCAATCGACATTTCTCTTTCTCTCCCTCCCTCTCTGCCTCTCTCCCTTTCTCTCTCTAAAATCAATAAAAAGATATCCTCAGGTGAGGATTAAAAAAAAAAAATAGACAGTTGACTCCAAAAGCCCACAGGTTAATCACCACGCACAATGGCCCACTGTGCAGTGGTTTGGGAGCCACTGGGTAGATTTTTTGGGTGTCTGACTTTCTCCCTAGTTGTTAACAGCTCTGCCTTTGGCCAGGAGCCCTTGGGCACGACCTCAAAGGGAAACCTTCTCCAATCACCTTGCAGGCAGCAGGCAGTGGTGGAGAGACAGGGCTCTTGTCTCTCAGATCCCAGCTCTGCCCCTTACAGCCTCCTCCATGGCCTCGAGTGAGGGGTTTCCTTCTAAGAACCCCAGCTTCCTAATCTGTGAGGCGGGGTGGCTGTGAGCATTCTGTGAGCATTAGTAGGAAACCTGGTGCTTCAGAAACAGGCATTTCTTTCTGGTAGTTTCTGACAGGCTGGCCTTCTCTGCAGCTGACTGCAGTGTAGACAGTCTCCCTGCCCCTCCCACGGGGTCAGAATCCTAGTCTCTCTTCCACTGTCTGAAGTCCAGCCACACCCCCCTGGGGGCTCTGGGACAGACTCCTCCCAGCCAGCGGAAGCAGCAGCATCTCAACCACCCCAGGAACGCAGTGAAGGAATGCAGACCCCTGGCCCCGCCTCTGCTCACCTGAGGCAGGATCTTCCTTGAGGCGGGGCCCAGGGACCTGCATTTTACAGCTGCTAGGGATAAAAATGGTTGAAAACCGGTTTTAAACTATCTTTATTTTTTTATTTTTTCTTTATTGATTTTTAGAGAGGGAGGGAGAGGGAGAGAGAGACTGAAACATCGACGAGAGAGAACATCGACAGGCTGCCTCCTGCATGCCCCCCACTGGGGATTGGGCCCACAACCTGGGCAGGTGCCCTGACCAGGAATCAAACCAGTGACTTCTTGGTGCATGGGTTGATGCTCAACCACTGAGCCACACCGGCTGGGCTTGAACTATTTTTAAAGATTAAAATGGTGTAAAAGGGCATTCCTGTTCCTTATTTCATTCTCCAGTTTCACCCACCAGAAACAATCAGCTTCCAGTTTATTACACATTCTTTCAGAAATATCCTATGCAGGTACACAAATATTTAAAATGGAAATAAAAAGAACAGCACACTTAACCTCAGATACCATACTGCTGCCCCTACCCCACCAATCATGAATATTTCTAATTGTGTTAATGCCAAGGCCCTCTTGGCATTAACAGATTCACTTCACTTTATTTAAAAATGTTTTCAAAAAAAAGTTTCCATTGATTTTTTAGAGAGAGAGGAGGGAGAAAGACATAGAAACATCGATGTGAGAAACAATCATTGGCTGCCTCCTGCACGCCCCCTACTGGGGATTGAGCCTGCAACATGAATTGACTCAATCCACTGGACCATAATGGCGGGGCCAAAAAAAATTGTTTTTATTGAGTTTTAGAGAGAAAGGAAGAAGGGGTGGGGGAGAGAGAGGGAGGGAGAGAGAAACACATCGATGTCAGAGAGAAACATCAATTGGTTGCCTCCGGTACCCACCCTGGACGAACCTAGGCATGTGCCCTGACTGGGAATGATGCCCAACCAACTGAGCCACACCCAGCCAGGGTTCACGTCACTTGAAACATCCAGCTACGATTCCATCACGTGGGGACCTGAGATGTGTTCAGCCACCCCCGTGGCGGATACTTAAGATGCTTCTGGTCTTTTGCTCGACCAACAACGCTGCACTAAACATTCCTCCCCAACATCCGGGCCGCCTGCGGGAGACTCTGCGGGAGGACGCCCGGGCCTGCCCCCAGTTCTGGAGCCCAGCTCCAGGGGACAAAAGCCTCACAGGTCACCTTCCCCATCAAGCAGCAAAGCAACAGAGACAACATGATGAGAACATCCCTCCTGAGTCTGTGCCTGCACCCACACTCAACATGACGCATTTTAGCAGGGGCTCTGGGTGTTCTCCTGGCTACCTGGCCCAGCCCAGCTGTGGCCCAGCAATGCAGGGCCCACTCAAGAAGCCCAGCTTTATGGCCTGGGGGCGTGAGGATGATCCCCTGTACCCCATCCAGTGTCCCGAGAGCACGGTGCGGACCGGCGCCTGGCCGAGCCTGGCTGGCAGCAGGGTTTGCCCACACCTGAGAGCCCACTCAGCTCGGCATCACTGAGCCAGGAGGCCAGGGCTGCACCGGGGGCTGAAAGGACTCCAGAGCTGGGTTATCTGCTCTCCAAATGAGGTCAGACAGACACTCCTGCATTTGAAGAACAACAAAAGCCACGCAAGTCCTGGCCCACACCCGCCCCCGCAGACAGGAGATCCTGTTCTGCAGCTACCTTGTAAAGGGAGCAGGGAGACAGTTTTTCTCCTGAACGGGGCAGGGAGCAGAACTCATCTGTCTGGTCACACCCTCCGGCTGGCTCCCCAGAGCCAAGAGGGGGGCCTGCAGACGCTACCTTCGCTTTGGCAGGGCCCCACTGCAGGAGCGGGGCACCTTCGCAGCCTCTTGCACTTGGAGTTGTGCAGAGTCATCTGACAGGGGGGTTGGCTTACTGTGTGCACCCGTGTGGGAATGAGCATGTGTGCAGGGAGAGGAGAGGGTCTTTGGGGAGCCTGCCTGCGGGGTTACCTGGCTTGACGTGTCCCTGCAGAGCTCGGAGTGGGTGTGGCTGGGCTTTGGCCCCGCAGAGGAGGAGGCCCCAGAAGAGAGCTGGGAGAAGGGATGCCAGACCGGACAGGAGTCCCGAGGCTGGGGGTCAGGTGTGGGCCTGGGTGGCTGAATCCTTGGTGGCAGGGTTTAGGCTTGCTCAGAACTGCCCCCCACCAAGTTCAGAGCAAGCGAGACTCAGGAAGGTGGGGACGGAGCACCCAGAACTTGCATGTGGAGAGCTTTAACATCTTTTAGAGGCCGCAGAGCGCATGCGGATGGGCAGCCTGGACTGAGTTCTGCTCTGCCACTTACAGCTCTGCACCAAGTGGCTGACCCACTCTGTTTAACGGGGATCACACCACCCTGGGAGGTGACGTGTATGTACCCGTGTCCCTTTGTCTCATGCCTCCCTCTTGGGCTACTCTGCTCCAGCCACACTGCCCTCTTGACCTGTCAACAAGCTGAGGGCCTTTGTTCTCCCCTCCGTGATGGCTGCTCCCTCCCTATACGGCCCTTCTTCTGGCTCCTTCTCCCTCTCCTGACCATCTTCTCCAATGTCAGTCATGCCCTCTATTTCCTCACACCCACATCTCACAGCCAGGGTCTCTAGAGTGCCTCCTACAGGCCACGTACTGTTCCACGTGGTTTACACGTCTTTCCTCCTCCACGTGGTTTACCACCCTTTGGGGAAAGGCTCTATTATTGTTCCCATTTTACAAATGAAGAAACTGAGGCATAGAGGGTGGGGCCACTGGCCAAGGGTTACAGCTACTAAAGGGAGGAGATGGGATTCAAACCGAGGCGATGTCGCTGCAGAGCCCACCTTCGCCCTAAGCTGCGGCCCCCGCCGTGTGCTGCAGGAAATCACCTTATTGCTCACTTGTTCCTTGTCTGTCTCTGGCCCATTCACTGGCTCTATGAGGGCCAAAGCCCTGACGTCCTCTGTGCAGCTCAGAGTGCAGTGATTCTCCTTGTCTCTGGTCACTTCTGGAGGTGGCTAGGGTACCAACTCATTACTCTAAAAATTGAATTTATCCTGCCTTCCCTGTACACGTTATACCTCAGAATGACCATATAGTTACTGAAGGCAAATTCTTTTTAGAAGAATTACAGCCAATAAATGAAGAAATGACAGCGTTGAGCATATCACAACTGTAATGGAAAAGTAAATGTAGGTCATGATCACAGTGGTTGCTGAAAGCTGAGGGGAAATGCACGATGCCAGGTCGGGCTGCCACCATCGGAGCCTTCTGGGCACCCTCAGCGTCCCTCACAGAGGGGCAACCGGACACACGGTGCCTCCTGACGGATGCACACCCAGGAAGTGTTGTTACCAAAAGAAATGTAGCCACGACCTGGTCAATGCCGATCCCAGCTCACGGGAGACACACGAGAAACAGGTTAAAGGACAGCAGGAGTTGCAAGCAGGAGGTCCAGGAACTGGGACACTCCTGAAATAGGGAGCCGGCTTCTTCCCCAACCAAGTTACAAGAAAAAAAAAGTAAGTGGGAGGAGAACTTAGAGATTAAAAGAGTGTGAAGAGACACATCAACCAAATGTGATAGGTAGGGCCTGATTCACAAAACAATTATTTTTTAAAAGCATCTCTTTGTGCCCTGGCTGATTTGGCCCAGCAGTTAGAGCATCAGCCTGTGGGCCAAAGGGCTGTGGATTTTTTTTTTTTACCCCCACTCGAGGACATTTTTCCATTTTTTTGCTCAGACAGAGTGGGGGAGAGAGAGAGAGAGAAACATCGACGTGAAAGGGACACATCGAGTGGCTGCCTCCCACACGACCAACCAGGGCCGGGGACAAACTGCAACTGAGGTACATGCCCATAGTGGGAACCGAACCCGAGTCTCCCTGGACTGCAGGCCAACGCTCTAACCGCTGAGCCAAACTGGCCAGGGCAGGGCTGTAGGTTTGATTCTGATCAAGGGCGCATGCAGGAGGCAACCAATCAATGTCTTTCTCACATCAATGTTTCTCTCGCACTCTTCCTCCCTCTCATCCACTCTCTCGACATAAATAAAAGTACCTCTCTGATAAGACCAAGTTAAAGGTAGATCGTGTAATTATTATTAAAATTTCCAAGTGTATGCAATAATTTTTTACTGATTTTTTTTCTTTTTTAGCGAGAGGATAGGAGAGAGATAGAAACATCGATTGTCTGCCTCCTGCGTGCCCCCTACTGGGGATCGAGCCTGTACCCTAGGCATGTACCCTGACCAGGAATCGAACCAGCAACTTCTTAGTGCATGGGCCGATGCTCAACCACTGAGCCACACCGGCTGTGCCTGTAGCAGTAACTTTTTGTTTGCTTTTGTTTTTTTATCCTCACCCAAGGACATTTTTCCATTTTTTGTTCAGATAGAGTGGGAGGGAGAGAGAGGAAGAGAGAGAGAGAGAAACATCAACGTGAAAGGGACACATCGAGTGGCCACACGACCAACCAGGGCCGGGGACAAACTGCAACCAAGGTACGTGCCCTTAGCGGGAACCGAACCCGGGTCTCTCTGGTCTGCAGGCCGACGCTCTAACCGCTGAGCCAAACTGGCCAGGGCTGTAGCAGTAACTTTTTAAAGGTCCTTATTGGATAGAGATATAACCCGAGAATTGGAACTGCTTCAGATAGTTCAAGGTGGGGAAGCCGAAAATTTAAAAACAAAACACAAAACTGGCCATATGTTGATAAATGTTCAAACAGCAGGCTCAGTATACCTTTTTTCTTAATGTTTACCAGAGGATACATTTTTTTCCATTGATTTTTCTTTTTTAGAGAGAGTGGAAGGGGAAGGGGCAAGTTCCTTTTGAGGCTGCACAGTCACCTAGGAAAGGGGACTCCGGGAGTGCCCACCTCGTGAGGCTGGTGTGGAGAAAATGGGGCCACACATGGCGCTTACACCGTATTGGCACGTAGCACGTGCTAGACGGATGTGACTACCACTCCGTCACCATCATCATTCGTTCGAATGGGAAACGGCCTCAAGTGACAACCCTGGGGCGCCCCCGTGTCCGGACTCTGGGAGCTGCCACTCCCCACAGCCCTCCCACCATGCTGGGTGAAGCCCTTACCTCCGGGGGGTGCCATCGTCGAAGGGGGGAATGATGACCACCTTGACGGTGACAGAGGTGCGCAGCAGGTCGATCATCTGGTCGTGGGTCAGTGTGACCACGGCCACCTTGCAGATCTCCACCAGCCGGCTGCCTTGCCGGAGGCCAGCCTGCCAGGCAAACCCATAGTCTTCCACCTCAGCCACGGTCCCGTCGTACTTCACGTGGAAGCCCAGCTGCCCGAGCCCGTTCCTCCGCAGGGTCATGTCCACCGTCTCCCAGCCGTTGGTCATCACCTACAGGCAACAGGTGGGATCAGGCCTCAGAAGCCATTTGGGGTCAGCTCTTATGGGAGACTCCTGGTCAGACGTCCTGCTTGGAGGTCAAAGACCCAGCTGACCCCACCTACCCTCCCAGGAGATGACAGGGTGCAGGAGCACAAACACCCACCCAGCCCCCACCCGGGCTCCTGACTTCTGGGGAGAAAACGTGGATGTGCGGTATGTGGCGCACAGAGGCAGCAGTCACCAGCCAAGCCGTGTTCTCTACCCCGCCTCCTTCCTTCCCCAGCATGGCCAGGTGCCGCTTCTCGGCCCCTCACGGATGGTGGGCTCTGGGAACTTTTTGGCCAGCTAGCTGTCAATGGGTCTGGCGTGTCGCCTGGTCTGAGGCATTTTGCCAGTGCAAGGCCCTCCGCTGGCCTTCCCTCTGCCACAGCATCCAGGACTATCCCAGATAGTGGCTGTTGGGTCGGCTGGGTCCTCGAGGTAGAACAATGTAGAGCAGAGCCTCTAGCGGAACCGAAGAGGGCAAGAGGTCAACTTTGGTTGTTTAAAGCCAAGAATGTTGACTCCTGGCTGATACATGGATTCTAACCAAAGTAAGTCAGAGAAGCAACAAACTCATGATCCTGTGATCTTATCTAGGGGGGTGTGTGTGTGTGGGGGGGGGGGGCGCTTGTGCCATATTCTTTACTTCATGACATCAATCTTAGGGGCACAAACCCATTTTGAATCTCCTCCTTAGATTGTCCCCCAGCCAGAAGCTGCCCAGACCCCATGGGGCCTTGCCTCCAATCTACTCCCTGCTCCACTGTGTGGAATTTCACCACGATAACGTATCATCACAGGTGCGAGGACCCAGCGAACAGAACCCCGGTCCTTCAGCACCTCCCCAGGGGTCCATCTGCTTCTTGGGATCAACAGGCGAACGTAACAAGCTTTGGCTGTCTGCCCTCCGTAAACCGCACTCAGGGAAGCGTGATGGGTCGGATTTCCCGTGAGAAATCCACCCCGGCTGGAAATCAGGCTGTTTACTGTGCCCAGCAGAGTGGCCGCATTCACACTTCTCTGACCACGACTCATAGGGAGAAAGGGGTTTGTGCCACAAGCCACACTACACGTCCATGTGTACACCCACCCACACAAGTCTTCCTGGCAACCCGAATCGATCACATTTGTGACTATGGTGAGCAAGAAATGCCAGTTTGGGTGGAAAGAACTGACCTGGAAACGGAACCACATCTGGTCGGTTCCTGACTGGGACAAGGAGGACCCGGGAAGCCGCGGGCATCTGAGATGGGAACGCCACATGCAGTGAGCACGCTCGCTCACTGTCCTGCCCCCGAACACTGCTGACTGAGACCCCGTGACTGATTTCATAGCCCAACTTGTTCATGTAACAGTAAGAAGTTATTGTTAATTCTCTACATGGTAACGACAAAACTTTTTAAGGCGCTGTACGCTCTAGAGATAAATATGGAGATGTTTTCAGATGAAATGACAGGATGTCTAGAATTTGTTTCAAAATGACCAGGGGGAAGTAAGGGAGGGAAAGAAGACACGAGGTCGGCCATGGCTGATGACTGTGGAAGGTGGTGCCGGGGCGAGTTCACTATGCAAGTCCCTCTATTTCTGTTTTAAAATGGTCTAGTGCCCCCTTGGCCAGGCTGCTCAGCCAGTGTTGTTCCGATACACCAAGGTTGTGGGTTCGATCCCTGGTCAGGGCACATACAAAAATCAACCAATGAATGCATAAATAAGTGGAACAACAAATCAATTAAAAAATTGTTCACTTCTGCTTTGGGAGTTGAAATTCTTCCTTTTGAAGCAGTCACCCTTGTGTCAAACAAATCTGGCTGTGGGCTATAGAGACAAGTCTGCACCCGTGGTGGATTAGGCCACAGCAGCCCCGGAGCCTGGGGAGGCCCGACCTTCCACAGAGGCTCGGACAGCGCACGCTGCCCGGCGGGACTGCTCACTGCCCTCAGGCTCCCTTCTCCCTTCTTCCTGTTAGCAATAAGACCCCCCCGCACAAGTCAGAGTTCTGATGGGTACAGGGCCACCTAGCTGTGACTACCTTCTCAGCTTTCCCCGCAGCTGGGCAAGGACATATGCCTTGGTTTTGGCTAACAGGACATGAGTCGCAGTGATGAACTTCTACTTGTGATTGTGAAAATGAAATGCTTGCCCTCCACGCTCACACTTTCTCCTTCCCAGCGGACAGGACTGTGGATATGGAGAGACCGCTGTGACCATGCAGAGAGGCTGACACCGAAGGAATAGAAGGCCCGAGCTGGAAGGGACGCGAGCCCCGGGCTGTCCCTGCCAGCCCTCGCCAGCCGGAGCGCTACCCTGTTCCAGCTCCCAGTGCTCATTCTACAGCCCCCATGACTCCTTCGGATCATTCTGGACAGGAGCTGGTAGGGCAACTGTCTGTGCCCTGAACTGCGGTGCCTGTCCCCTCTGCTTCTGTAACGAACCAAAGCGAGCGCTGCCTGAAGGCGAGCCGCCCGAGGTTTACGGGTTCCAGAATGCCCACGGCAGAGGGAACAGCTCCTGAGACCAAGCACACAGATCAGTTCGAAGGAACCTCTGCCCTGTCACGTGTCTGAAAGTGCCATTTCCTGGGGACAGATCTTTGTGTGCCAGGCACTGGGTAAACCCTTTGTATGCCCAATTTTGCAAGTATCAATCATTGTTAATTTTATGGGTGTGGAAACTGAGGTGATGCCAGCTCCGAGGCCTGCCTCGGACCCCGGCTTTCACTCCCTGCTGCCCTCCCACCACTCTCTTTAGTTTCTTTCCCCGCATTCTTCACCGTGATGATTTTAGATTGAGAGAAAGTGACGGAGAGAGAGAAACACCGATGAGAGAGAACATCGATTGGCCGTCTCCTGCACGCCCCACACTGGGGATCGGGCCCACAACCTGGGCATGTGCCCTGACCGGGAATCAAACTGGCGACCTCTTGGTGCATGGGTTGACGCTCAACCACTGAGCCACACTGGCCAGACAGGATGATTCTTAATCATTACTCTAGTATCAGTTTAAAAGTCATTTCTTGCCCTGGTCGGTTGCTCAGTGGTTAGAGCGTTGGCACGTGGACCCGGGTTTAGTTCCCGCTAAGGGCACGTACCTCAATTGCAGTTTGTCACCAGCCCTGGTTGGGTTGTGCGGGTGGCAGCCACTCGATGTGTCCCTTTACATCAATGTTTGTCTGTCTGACTGTCTGTCTCTCTCTCTCTCTCTTCCTCCCACTCTATCTGAACAAAAAAATGGAAAAATGTCCTCGAATGAGGATAAAAAAATAAAAATAAATAAAAGTCATTTCTTCATGGAGACGCCCCAGCCCCAGGGGCCAGGCTCACAAGCTGGGGTGCTTGGTGGGTAATGCATGTGAGAGGAAGGCCGGTGGAACCATGGCCAAATGGTATGCTCCTGTCCCACTATCACAACTGTAATGGAAAAGCAAATGTAGGTCACGATCACAGTGGCTGCTGAAAGCTGAGGGGAAATGCACGATGGCAGGTCGGGCTGCCACCCTCGGAGCCCTCTGAGCACCCTCAGCGTCCCTCAGAGGGACAGCCTGACACACAGTGCCTCCTGACAGACGCACACCTGGGAAGTGCTGTTACCAAAAGAAATGTAACCACAACCTGGTCAATGTCAAACTGCAGCTTACAGGAGACACACGAGGACCAGGTAAAGGACACCAGGAGTTGCAAGCAGCTAATGCCCTGGCCTTTAATGGCCTGGGAGCTTTTCACTCTATTTTAATTCTTCTAGAAGACTCCTTGCATTTTTAACATAGGCTTAAATTTATATTTTCTATCAACATCTAGACTGAATAAATATGCCCTTTGTCCTCCCAAGGTAATGACATGGACAGTCTCAGACCCCCGGCCCAAACTTTCCCCAGAAAAAACCCAGGTGTACGACCCAGTGGAACCCTAGCGTGTAAGTGACAATTCTGATTCCTTTGGGGCCAATTCGGGTCCTGACCTAACTGCCAGGGCTGGGGGAGGCCTGCCAGTGGTTCCTAAGGCCTCTGCTGCGTCCTTGCGGAGCTCCCTCCCTTACCTTCAGTCTCTGGACGATGTCCCTTATGTCCTCCACCGAGCCCTCTGTGGCCCGGAGGGAGATGTGGTCTCCTCGTCCATAGAAGATTTTTAGCATTGAGGAGTCTGGGGTCCAGCCAATGACATCCCCACAGTAGCAGTTAAATACCACCTCCTTGGTGCGCAGGTCCAGGAGCACCACAAACTCATTGGAAATTCCCAGAATGCAGTCGATTTCCACCCCCTGGCCGTAGTCCTGAGCCGCCACCCTCCAGGCGATGGCCCCTGCGCTGTGCTGCTCGGCCCCTGCCCGGGCTTTGGTCTTCTCCTTCTTCTTGGAGGTCAGGGAGATGAGGTTGAACTTGCCAGTGGAATCGATGGGTGTGTTGGAGACACAGTTCTCAGCCAGGTCTTTGAGGTACTCTTGGCGCGTCCTGGTGGCCATGGTGCGGAACTTGTCAGACTTGTGTGCGGCATTCTCTGCATTGATCACCTTGGCCAATAAAAAGTCTCTGAAGACGTCAGACTTGCGGAACGTGGTCCCATTGGGGATGGGGGGGCCAAAAGGAGGCGCGTCTTTGGATCGGGTCACAGCCATACTGAGGAGGGAGAAATCATTTAGATGGTAGAAAGAAAGGCACTTGAGATTCCCTTCAGAAAGAAAATGCATGATCAGAAATAGAACTCTCCTTTTTAAGAATGGAAGTCTACCTCTAATTAGTAAGCTGCTGGCTAACTAGACTGGAAATTTTTAAGTCTTAGGGCACATACACACATTTTTACTTCCTGTACAGTGGCTGTTAGAATATCCAATGACATTCAAAGAATAATGCTCCTGTGTTGTTTTAACTTCAGTCATTCTCATTTTACATACATATAGACTATGGTACATTAGAATTTGGCAAAAATTTACTCCTTCCTCTCCTTCATGGGCAGGTCCATGCCCACCCCATTGAGCCTGGGCCTGGTCACATGACTTGATTTGGTCAACAGCTGTCAAGCAAAGGCATGCAATGTGGGGGGCAGGGGTAGGGCTTGCCTCCTGGCCTCAGAGACACCTGGAGCAGACCTGTGCCTGGAGCCAAGGCCGGCCTGACCTCAGCTCACCAGCAAATGTGTGAGCCAGAGAGAAATGTTAGTGTTTTTGAGTCACTGAGTTTGGGGGGTGGTTTGCTAAGCAGCGTAACTGTAGATACTTGACTGATATAAATCATCTCAACAAGATCATTTTGAAAATCCATATGAAAGTTAGAATGGGACTCTGTCTACTTCAGTTTTGACCGACATGTCACTATGGTAGAAATCAGATAGCAACTGAATGAGAATGTAAAAAGAAAATGCTATAAACCCGTGTCCCAAAACTCCTGAACCACCTCACCCACTATGCAAACTACAGAGAGGGAAGACATCTTTAGGGAAAGCTGGGCGGTGAGCCCCAGTGTCCCTGCCCCACTTCCCCAACTAGGGGCCTCCTAGGTGAGCCTTATGGTTAGAGGAGCCCAGAGAGCATGTAGCCAGCAGTGATCACAGTCTGCGACACCTCTGTCTCTCATTTTCTCCTTGTGTTCCAACCCCGGACGGTGAGACACCGCTGTCAGCAGGGCTGGGGGACATGCCGGGCGGAGAAACAGAGCAGAGGTAAGCAGGCTCCCCATCCACCGAGGCCTCTAGCCCCAAGCCTCAGTGGGGGAAAGGACTTGTTGATAAGTTCGGAGGTTTGCTGCGCATCTTTGGACGTTCTAATGACCAAACTGAGTGCAGACGCAGTGGCTACAGGGTAGACAATTTCTAACATTACGCAAACAGGCCACGGCATCTGCCAAAGTGATCATCTAGGGCCGGGGGACCTTGCTGAAATACATTTCAAGGGGCCATAGTCACCACGAGTTATGCTGTTGACATATGATGATTAAAAAATGGTACAAGCCCTGACTGCTTTGGCTCAGCGGTTAGAGCGTCAGCCTGAGGACCAATGAGTCGTGGGTTCGATGCTGGTCAAGAGAATGTACCTCAGTTGTGGTTTGTCCCTGGGCCCTGGTTGGGTCATGCGGGAGGCAGCCAGTCAATGTGGCCCTGTCGATGTTTCTCTCCCCCTCCCTTCCATTTTATCTAATGATAAATAGAAAAATATCATCAGGTGAGGAATAAAAAAAAAATGGTACGAGTTGCTGTAACTGAGTGAGCAGTAAGTTTGGCAGGATTTCCTCAGGGTACTGTATTCAGCCTCCACAACCACCTCAACTCGGGAGTATGGTGTTTGTTAGAAGAGACTTCCTACTGTTTCTCTTCCTACTGTAGAATCATTTTTTTTTTTTAAATTTATTTTTTTATCCTCACCTGAGGACATTTTTTTCCATTTTTTTGTTCAGACAGAGTGAGAGGGAGAGAGAGGAACAGAGAGAGAGAGAGAAACATCGATGTGAAAGGGACACATCGAGTGGCTGCCACCCGCATAACCAACCAGGGCTGGGGACAAACTGCAACCGAGGTACATGCCCTTAGCGGGAACTGAACCCAGGTCTCCCTGGACCGCAGGCCGATGCTCTAACCGCTGAGCCAAACCGGCCAGGGCTGTAGAATCACTTTTTAAATAATGAGACTCTTGATGAAAACATATTCCCTGAACCCCAAACACTATGTAAACTTGTTGGCTCTGACTCCCAGCCCCTCTCCCCAACTTGACAAGGTAGACAGTACATCATTCATTTGACAACCGTTTCAGGGATGCCCTCTCCCCGGGCATTGGGGTATAGCGGTCCCTACCCTCCTGAGCCATTAATCTAGGAGGAGAGACATACCAAACAAATACACTCACAAATTAACTTATAAAGGCAAAAAAAGGGAATGGAGTATGAAGAACAACAGAAGGACCTGATTTGGACGGGGAATCTGGGGGGCCTCTCTGAGGAAGTGACAATTAAGCTGGGATCTAAGGCTGAGTAGGAGCCAGAGGAAGAGCGAAAGGGAGGGTGCTGTCGGCAGGGGGTCTGGCAGGTGCCGACTGGCAAAGAGCACGGGGGAGCCGGGGCCCAGAGAGCAAAGAGCAGGAGGCTGGTAAGGTCACAGGGGCCAGGCCAAGCAGGACCTTGATGGTGTCTTAGCACTTTTCATCCCCATCAGATGAGGAGAATAAGCAACCATTTAACCACCTGGGTGGGCTATTCACCATCTGCCCTGGGCTCCAGGCCCTGCCATTCTCTGCCCTGCTCAGCGTCCTGGAAGATGGGCTTCTCCGGACTGACCGCCACTTTCACCTCCATGCCCGGCCCTCGGGCTTCCGGCTGAGTTCGGCCGACAGAAGCGCAGGCAGGTGATGGGAAGGTGAGGACAGAGAGGGTGAGAATTTATTTCCACTGCCTCCCTGCTGGGCTGGGACAGTGGCGGTGGCTGTAGTCCTTGGTTCTTTACTCACAGCACAGCTCCTATCCGGCAGCCCCTCCCCCAAAGACATAGCTCTCCCTCGCTTCTAGAAACTTCTCCTTGCTGCTGCTCCCTGGATGCCTCCCTGTCCTGCACATGTTCCTTAACCTAGCCACGCTGTTGGCAGGCAGTTCATCAATCCCTACAGTTAAAACCCTGAGGGGGCCCTCTGCTTCTTGCTGGGTCCCTGATGGATGCGGGTTCTAGCCAAGAGTGACCACCAGATTGACGACCTGCAAGGGTCCCTGTGGCTGACCACGAAGTAAAGGCTGGAAGGGACCGAAGCACGTGCAGGCTGTCGAGGGAGCCCCTGCCCGAGGCCCGTGTGAGGCCAGGCCCCTGGCTCTCTACATCCCCTGTTCAGCGCCCAGCGACTCCGCTCCGTCCCGGAGGGCCACGTGGGCAGGGCCGCCTGGGCTGAGTTGGTTCCCCAGCACCAGTCCAGGCCCTCAATATTGATTAAAGTCATTTGAAGATTTAAATTTAAAGTAAAGATCTAATCTTGAACAGACAGACCAAGAAGAAACAGATTTCCACCAATGTGCAGTGCGTGCAGGTCTGGTAGAGAGAGGCGTTCCCAGGACAGAGGTTCCAAGGCCTCGCAGACTGCGGTGGAACATCCTGTGGGCATGGCCTTGTCCCCAGGCAGGGGGCAGATGAGATGACCTCACTGTGGTCTCTCTGCCCTAATTAACAACAGTGCAGTCAGACTGTGCTCTACATCTTCATTCGGCACTGGGCTGTTTCCAGGGACAGATTTGGGCTGTTCTCATAGTCCTGATTTGCCACTTGGGGAACCACGAACGTGTACGTGGCTGCAGGTTTCTGGACCATCGGAACAGCAGGACCCTCACTTCCCCTGCAGGAGGGACAGGGCTGTCATGGCCCACAGGCTGCGGGGTGCTGGGGCCCCTTTTGGAAGCAGCACCCTTGACATGAGAGCAATGTCGCACAACCGGGAGATGGTGTGACTACCAGGTCACTGCTCACTGTAGCTCATCAAGTATTTCTAGAGTATTCACAAGTATTCAATTATTTTCTCAGTGTTCCGGTAGTTTGGACCAGGCACCTGTCTAGCCAGCAAAAATGTCTCTAGGGCCCACAGTATGACAAGCACTGTGCTGTGACAGACACATGGAGGTGGGCATGACACGGGGTCACTCCAAGGGAGCCACGGGCTACATCAGTAAGTCATTTTACAGTGTGACGAGTGCTGAGACAGAGAGGTGTTTGGGAACACGGGGGGGACAGGGAGAGGTCTGTCCGGAGAGGAGGTACCTGTAAGGAACGAGGTAAGAAGCGGGAGAGGGTGCAGCTTTGGGGTTATCTCTAACATTTCCTTTCTTTAAAAACAGAAGAGAGCTGAAGCAAACACGGCAAAATGTTAACATCTGTTAAATCTGGTGGCAGGCACATGGCCGTGTGTTCTACTCTTTTCTGTCCTTCTCAGGATGGGGAGGAAGGGAGAAGGCCCACCCAGCCCAGCCTCTGATGTGTGACGACAGGCCGCTTCCTCCTGCGAGCGGAGTGTGCGTTGTGCGCTTGCGCAGGCTCGCAGAACAGCTCCGCCCTCCCTCACCAGGGCTACCTTTCAGCTGCTAAGGAACATGGGCCATCATCTGAGTGACCTGAGCCAAAAGGCGCAGCTGCTGCTGAATGTCCTGGAGACACATGGGTGGGGGGGCAGGCCTGGCCAGGGCTGCGTGGAGGCCCTGCCACACACGCCGAGGCACACCCAGCATGGTGGCCCACCACCGCGCACTGGGACCCTCCCCTCTCTCGGACACAGCTGAGGAGGAACCGGTGGATCTGGGCGATTCCACCAGGGTTACCAGCGCACCTATGCACGTATCCTTTGAACTGGTCACCCCATTCTTAGGAATATACCCAGCTGTATACTTGGACACGTGTGCAAGGAAGGTACAAACAGGCTATTCACTGCAGGATGAACTGTAACAGCAGGTAACAGGAAACAACCCAACGCCCCTCAGCAGCAGGTGGGGGAGATTCTCAGGTATCCACGCGATGGAATATCACGCAGTGATAAGGAATGAAAAGGCACTTTGTGTACTGGTTTGGAGAGATCTCAGGACTGCTGAGTGAAGAGAACAGGCCGCAGGACAGTGCGTGTGACACGCGCCTCCGGCAGTGAGAAGGAAGAAGAGGGGCGCCTGAGAGTCGTCGCCTGTATGTGCACAGAGAGTGCAGGACAGTCCGTGACCAGGAGCTGCCTCTGTGAGGGCGACTAGGCTGTTTGGGGTCCAAGGTGGGGCACTTGGACCATTTTTCACTATTTGATTTGACCTCTTCTACCTTTAGAACTTCAAACCATTTTCCAAAGACGCAAGATGGCACTTCCTAGCCCATTCCCCAGAGTTTGCAGCGGTGCTCTGGGGTTGAGTGCTGAACTCAGCCTGGGCCTAAACTACTGACCGGCTGGTTTTCCAAGGCCCACAGCTCTGTCCTCACCCCACAGAGCACTTTCCACTCGGCCTTTGGGGACCAGGTGACAACTGGTGCTTGGGGAAGATATTGAATGGGTTTGAGGTCTATGTCACGTGTGGTCTGTGAACTAAAACCCTCAGCAGTGCCTCCCAAGGGCATCCCGCCTGCCCTACCTCCATCCTTCTGATGTCCCCTTGGGACATGACTCCTGTGCCTCTCAGTCCACACACCTGCTGCCTAGCAGCAGCGGGTGGATTTGCTCTTGGAGGGGCACCTGCCCCCCAGCCAGGTCAACAAGCCTCAATTCTGGAACTTCTTTTCCTGGGAAAGGCAAACTCTCTCTGTGCTGGGTTTGCAGCTGGAAGGATGTTATGCTTAGAGCTACCAGCAAATAAAGGAACGGACGGGAGAGTGGAGCAGACCCAGCCAGGCCTGAACGTTCGTGAGCGCCAGCGCACACAACTGTCTTTTTGTCTTAAGCCAGATCGAGGCGGGTTTTCTGTCACTTGCCACCAAAAGATTCCTGGAAAAAACAAATTCCTGATGACTTCCTTATCAAAACTGGGGCGCCATGCCCCTTTCCGGCTGAGAGTCACTGTCTCAGAAGGTGTGGGAGGGTGTGGACAGGGCTCCCCTACTGAAACACAAACACAAAATACAGGAGGCAGCCCACCTGAGCCAGCCGTCTGCTCGCTGCCTGTCCCTCGGCAAGCTGTCTAGATGCTAGAAATAGCTTCTGGGATTCCCTTTGGGTGGGGGACCCCCTGGGTGGCTCCCTGGAGCTCCGTGTGGAGGTGCGTACCTGTAGCAGACGTTGTCAGTGCAGGGGTTGTGGGCTCGGACAATGATGAAAACGTGCTGGAAGTGGGAGCGGATGTTCTTGGGGGTGAAAGGCAGCGCCCCCGGCTCCTGGAAGATGATGGTCACAATGTCGTTTCCGATGTGCCTCTTCCGTAGAAGCTGGTAAATGGGAAACACAGTGGGAGAGGGAAGCGTCACAGGTCGGCTTGGCTCGAGGGTCCTGCCTGGGCCATCACAGCAGTCTCCTTCTTGTCTCCCTGTCCCCAGCAGCCCCAGAGTCGGAGGAAGCCGGACACCTGGGCCAACCATGTCTCTCCCTGCTCAGGGCCCTCCTGCGGCTCCCTCTCAGCTGAGGTGCCCACATGGCCCAGGGAGCCCCAGGCAATCTGCTCGTGACCTCTGTGACATCTCTGTCCACGTCCCCCCCTTGCTCCCTCTGCTCCAGCCACACTGGCCTCTTGCTGCTCCTCAAAGACACCAGAAACATTCCTCCTCAAGGCCTCTGCACCAGATGTTCCCCTGCCTGGAGCCTTCTCCCCGCAGATCCCCAGAGCTCACCGCTCCCTCCCTCGGGCTCGGCTGGAGTGTCACCTCCCACAGAGGCCCTTGCTGATTGTGTTATCCAAGCTCTCACCCCCTCAACACTCCATCTCTGCTCTTCCATCCCTGTTATTTAACATTTATTGCCACTTAGAGAACAGCAGCTCTCCCCTCTCCCTCTGGTTTCTCGTCTGTCTCTTCCCACTGACGTGTCAGCTTTGTGAGCACAGGGATTTGGTCTCTTGCTTGCTGCCCACTGCTGTACCCTCAGTGCAGGGAGCAGTGCCTGGCACACAGGAGGTACCCAAGAAACATCGACTGAAGGGAAGCACGGGCGGCGGCCTTCGACTTGACCAAGGCCGCGCTCACAGCCGACGGCAGAGGCAGACCGGAGACACTGCACGGCCGACCCGGCCGCCCTGTGCTGGGCCACCCGAGCTGAGAAGACGGGGCAGCTCTGGCTTCATACAGGCCTCTGGGAGCCCTGTGCTCTCTCTCCTGCTTGTCAGCCCAAGGGCTACTCTGTCACCTCTGCAGGCAATGGTGTATTCGTGGCAATTTACTTATTTGCTGAAATTACACTGTCCTTACTTACACAGGCTTAGCCTTCACGCAGCTGTTAGGAGTCCACAGATAGGAGCCGCGTGGTTAGTTCTCCGCGAGGTGGTCAGTGTGAAATGCAGACACACCAAGCAGCACGACTCACACTGTTTTGTCAGATTGTTAGTTCTTTATGTGTGTTTTAAACTGGATTCAATGAAACTGCTAAATAAAGTAACCATTTACTATGGTTGGTACTTTATACCCATATCTTTATTATCTTTTTAATCCTCACCCAAGGATGTGCTTTTCATTGATTCTCGAGGCAGAGAGAGCCGAACATCGATGTGAGAGAGGCACAGTGACTGGCTGCTTCCTGCACCGACTGGGGATCGAACCCAAGACCCTCTGGTGCACAGGACCATGTGCTAACCACTGGGCACACTGGCCAGGGCTCACACCCACATCTTAAAGTTGCCATCCCATTTACTCCTCAGAACAAGCCTGTGAGGCACTGACCCATCCTGGCCCCTTTTACTGATGAGGAAATCTAGGCTCACAGCAGGTACATGGCTTGTCCTGGGCCACAGTCATGGAGGGAAAGATCCAGAATTTGAGTCCACTTCTGCCTGATTCTAAAACCCAATCTTTAAAATTAAGTAAATAAGTAAGTAAATAAATAAATGAAACCCGAGCCCCACCTCCCCCCCGAAATACCTAGGAGCGGGCACAGCTGCCACGGCCCCTCCCGTCAGGCCCCGCCTTGCACTCTGGTTTCAGGTAAGAGTACAGGCACCTTTCCCAGGGGCACCAAGACATGGGCGCCAGCATTCCACCCATGGCACAGAGGAGAACCCGAGCCCACGAGGTCAGGTCACACTGCTCAGGAGTGGCTCGGAAGAAACATACGTTTCCCAAACCACCTGCAGTCTGTGGGGCTGCTGTCTGTTAGGAACCAGGGAAGAGCTGCTCCAGGACTGAGTCTGCATGGTGCGTCCAGGAGGAGCCTCTGGCAGGGGCCTGGCTGCTGCTGCTCCCCCCCCCCCCGCCCCGGGAAAGGGCCTCCCTGACCTCACTCACTCTCTCTAGGAGACGAGCATATGCTTCAGGCTTGTCTATCAATCAGCTCAGTCCATCCCTACCCCAAGCCCAGGGACTGGCATGTGAATGGTCCAATGAGACTCAGTGCTAGAAGGCAAGCTCTCTTTCCCCTGTGGTGGCTATGCTGGGGGGTATGGTTCAGTGCTGCTAGGGGCATCTCTGCCACTACTTAGGAAGACCTATCATGAGGCCACGCTGAAGAAAAGCAGGGGTGAGGAATGGAAAGGACTCCTAACGTCGTTTAGGCCCCTGGATCCAGCCATACCTACAGCCCCACTCCCCCAGCATGCAAGAGTTCCACAGTGCAGCACCTCTGCTTTGCACTTACGCCAGTTTGGTTCGCATTTTCTTCACCTGCAGTTAAAATAATATTGACTGACTGACTTTTTTTTATAGGGTCCCTGATGACTGAAGAGACCCTTGAGGAGAGTTGGGGCAGAGGCCAGCAGGGTGGCCAAGGAACAGCTACGAAAAAACTGACATTAAACAGCACCTGACCCAACTGCTGCACAGGCTGGTACCAGCACAGCCAGTGCCGGGCAGGTAGCCAGCTGACAGCCGGGGCACAGAGGGCCTTGGGGTTTAGCCGTGCATCAGCTGGAAATCATGTGGGGCCCCAACCCTGGCCCATACTGACCTGCTGCCTGTTGTTGGGGGTGTAAGGGAGCAGGGTGGAGACATGGAACATGATCTCGTAGTCCTGGAACGTGGTGTAGAGGGAGTGGGTTCCCGTGGAGTCGGCTGCAACAGAAACACTCGTCAGCACCATGTTTCCCAAACCCCTGGGCTTCTGCAGTCAGTGTCCATCTGTAACCTGGTGTTTTCACTTAACTCCACTCTTCAAGATGAAATACATCCAGATAAAAAGGAAACCTCCCATCACACGCCCACCGGGTGGTAACAATGTAGACCTCTGACAACACCAAGGGCCGGTGAGGATGTGGAGTGACGAGAGCCCTGCATGTGGCCAGTTAGGGGTGTAAATTGGTGCAAGCACTTGGAAAATTTTTTAGCAATGTCTACTGAATTCAATGGATGACCCAGTACTTCCTCTCCTAGGATCATAGTCTAGATGATTGTACACATGTGCCCTGGGATATGGGTATAAGCATCCTCAAATGTCAGTCAAAAGAATGGATAAACAGACTAGCAGGTTAATGCTGGGGAAAATGCACAGCCGTGACAAGCAGTGAGTCATAGCACCATGTGGCTGAATCCCACAAACATAATGTTGAATGAAAGACGCCAAACACAAAGGAGCACACGCTGTCTGACTGCATCCACCCTTGGCTCAAAGACAGGCCAAACATGTAGATGTGCATGCATAGGTAGCAAAACTATGAAGCAAACAAAAACAAAATGATAATCATAGGAGTCAGGATTCCAGTTACTTCTAATGTGAGGGGGCGGGTTATGAGCAGGCAGCAGCACACCTGCTGACTGGCTCCATGTTTCAGAGGGGGAAACTGAGGCACAGCGAGGCAGTGACTTGCCCAAGGTCACACTGTAAGACTGGCAGCAGCTGGTGTTTATCTGAGAGCTAGTTCTCTGTGAGGCCTGTGCTGGGCAGCTGGCCCTCACAGCCACCAGTGAGGGGTAAGGCATCTGCTAAGAAGGGGATGATGAGTCCCGTTCCTTTTTTCTGCATGCACTGCCCCTTCAGCGGTTTGCCCACAGAACCACAATATTAATGCTCACACCTGCTGCGGGCTGTGTGCCAGGCGGTGGTAAGAGGCCTGTGCCCCATCAGCACACCGTGGACGCCATCCACCCTCGGAGCTCTGGGAGGCTGGGCAGGTCCAGTGCCCGGCAAAGAACGTCAGGTTCAACACTGTGCCCCTGAGGGAAGCGCGATTATTCCTGTTGCTTTACAGATGAGGAAACTGACGCTCGGCAAGGCGAAGAACGAGTGAGCAAGCCAGGGCCCACGACGGGGCTTTGGGACTCAGCCTGAGCAGCTAAGTCAATGACAGGCACCCCTGGGATTGGTGGGCGGTGCTCTCGCCGGAGCCATGCCGCCAGGTCACACGCCCCTGGATGTTCAACCTTTCCATCGCACGGCACATACACCGATTACTAAAACTCTGCCGCACACCGGACGTACACTTTTGCTGATCTGACCCGCACCCCGTCCTCCCCGCCAAAAGGGTAAGCCGGTGGCCCGTTTATCACTGTCACCGCCACAGAGCGCTTAGCTGGCTGAGTGTGCCATTGCTCTGTCCGCGCACACTGGGCACGTCCTGGGGGCTGGGTTCCCAGCACACGGGACATGTCCTGGCGCTTGCGCACGAGCTCTCGGAGCACATGTCCAGCAGTGTGGTTGCTGAGACAGAGTCAGGGCATCTTCAGACTTAACCAGCGTGTGGTACTGTTCTCCAAAGTGGTGTCCTTCCTGCACTCCCACCAGCGGAGACCAGAGCTCCCACTGCCCAGTGTCCTTCCCTGTCGCCAGGTCTTTCGCCCATGTGCAGAGGTGCCTGACCTGATCTAATGTGCTCCAACCGGCCCCCACCAGGCCACTTACTCTTGACATCCAGCTGGGCGGCGTACTTGGTGAAGCCCTTCAGGCAGACCTTCTCGCCCAGCAGGGAGAGGAACTCCTCGAAGGCGGGGCCGGCCTCCTCGTTGTTGTACATCTCCTCCTCCGAGCTCTGGCCCGCCCTGCAGTACAGGATGCCCACTTTGTGCTTCCGGCAGAGCTGCGGAGGCGAAAGCGCCGTTATGGAGGCAGGACAGAGATGTCAGAGGGAACAGAACCGAGGCGGCTTTCTCAGGCGCTGCGCCTGGGAAGTTGCTAGAGTCACACAAGAACTAGCACCACGGCCAGAGGAAAGGAAGAGGCGTGGGGACATGTCCCAGTTGTCCCTTGCCCTCCCTCCCGTTTGAGAGGTATGACAAGGTGCCCAGGCCTCTTCTTCTTAATGTCTACAGAGGGCAATGCCATGCTCATGAAGGAGACTGTTGCCTGGGTCGGCTTCCCATAGGAGGTGGGTGGGAGCTGGCTGGGACTCTGCAAAAGGAAATTCTGAAGGGTGCACGGTGCAGCAGTCAACACTGGTTTTTAGGGGATGGGCCCACAATAACTATGTTTGATGTAACCCCGATTCCTCTGGTCACTGTGACTGGACCATGGACAGACACCTGACCTACGTGGAAGCCAGGTAGAGGCTCTCTCGGGCTAAGAATCAACGAGATGGTCTCTGCAGGTGGCCTTCATTCTAACAGTAACTCGGAGCAGAGGGAGGGCCAGAGAAGCGGAGGGAGCCAGTGTGCAGAGGGAGGGAGGGAACACGAGCGTATACGTGTACACACACACACATAGCTGGTGGCTTTCATCCCTAGACTGTTTTCCTCCTGAGACCCAGTCACATTCGTGTTCTTGGCCACCCCAGAATTTGATAACAGATGCCTCTTTTTACTGAAACTAGCTTAAGTCGGTTTCTGATCTTCGAGGGGGAAAAACAAAAGTAATCAGGACAGAGAGAGGTACCGGGAGTGGGGTGGCTGGCTGTGCCCCAGTGGTCCCCAACCCTGGCCCCGGCTCACCCCTTGCTCGTCGAGCTTCAGCAGCTGCTCCGTCACCTTGGGAGTGTTGAGAGCCAGCCGCAGGCAGTGGATGTTAAGTTCGGGAAGGACATACTCCAGGGCATCCTTCAGGGGTAGGCCTCGCCCCGTCCCATGTTTCGTGGCTGTGGGGGTGGCATCCTCCAGGATGGAGCCCCGCAGGGTGACGAGCTGCTCCAGGGACAGAAGGGACAGTTAGGAGGCTCTCGGGAACCAGAAAAGGATTAGGACATAAGAGGGTGTCCGGTTCTCAAAGCGACATGTGTGATGATCAGTAGCTTGGGCTCTAGGGCCTCTCCCAAGGCAACCGTACCCTGATTTCTAACCCCATGACTTATCGCCGCCTGTTTCTAAGCTTCCTGCAGTTTGGATTTTTTAATATCTGGCTTCTTCTCCGCATGCTACAGATACGAGATGCGGCCGTGCTGCTGCAGGAGGCGGACATTCCTACCACGATGGATCTGACGCACTCCCTGCTGACGAGCATGGACACTGCTGCCTGTCCACAGCTTCAGCGAGGGTGCTGCTAGGGACTGCACAGCAGCACCTCCCAGCGCACGTGAGCACACTTTCCTTTGAGTTTGTTCCGAGGAGAGAAATGGCTGCAGCACCAGGCATGTGAATATTCAATTATACTGCCCTGCAAACGGTTTTCCAAGTGGCTGTCCCAATTTCCACCTGCCCACCCCATCTCAGAACTCCTGCTGCTTTGCACCCTCACGAACACTAGCTCAGGCTTCTCCCCACGATGTGCTGCTGGCTACCAGGTGATGCCATGCCTGGGGCTAGGCACCGCAGCTCCAGGACACACCAAGAGGGCACAGCAGGGTCTGCAGCATCACGAAGTAAAAACCCTCCCCTGAGGGACTGTTACAAGCACCCAAACAAAATACCCTTGGGGCTATGGTTTAAGGACTACGGAGGATCAGTGCTAACAGGAAAAACACGCTCATCCTAAGCCAACAGATGCAGGAGATGGCAAAAATAACATGTCATGACATCACTTCTAAATGTACAGCCCACCCTTGCCAAACCGGACTGGGCAGGAGGCGTTCATGGAAGTAATGAAATGACCTCATGCTTGGGAGTTCCCAGTTCTGGTCTTGGTAGTTAATAAACAAACAACTCTCTTATCATAAGCAGGGCAGTCTTGAAACAGATCATGAAAAGCAATGATGTCTTATGCTTTGCCCCGCCAATCTGGGTGGCCTTGGGACTATGGGTTTCAATTAATGCACCAACAGGATCTGTGTGTTTGTATCCTGCTGACACTGCCCTGAAGCGCCCCTGCTGGGGCCAATGGATGGCATGGACCAGAAATCCCTATGTTCTTTTTCACCCTGGAGACAGGTGGCCTGCGGTCACATTTTGGCTCTGACGACTTGACCAAAGACCATTACTCAAAAAGCTCCCTGAGCCCAGCTGATGTGGCTCAGTGGTTGAGCATCAACCCATGCACCAGGATGTCGCTAGTTCAATTCCCGGTCAGGGCACATGCCCAGGTTGTGGGCCAAATCCCCAGTGGGGGGCGTGCAGGAGGTGGCCAATGTTCTCTCTCATCGATGTTTCCCTCTCTCTCCCTCTCCTTTCTCCTCTCTCTAAAATCAATAAAGAAAAAAAAAATTAAAAGCTCCCCGAGCTTTTCCTTCTCTGCTGGGGAAAATAAGTAGGGCAATGGCAGGTGGCAAAGAGTGGCCACCTCTACTCTCCAGCTGCTTCTGTCCACTGTCATGTCCTACCTGGACTGTGACAGCAGCCTCCACCGGGTCTCCCTCCTCCTGCCACCCCACCAAATCCCTTCTCCCTGCAGCAGCCTGATTCAGATCATGTTTGTCCTCTACACGGAACCTGCTAACGACTTTGCATTGCTCTCAGAATAAAATCTACACTCACTGCTCCGTCTGCAAGGCCCTGGCATCTCACCGCGGTAACCTGCCAGCTGAGCCATGAAAGGGCCTCAGGGCCACGTAAGCAAGGAGGTCCTATTTACACAGGTGGTTCTCCACCGGCATCCCCGCCTTTTTTTGTGCTGGGGGTGGGTGCACCCTCCTTCAAGAACTTTTCCTGGGAGGGCACCTGGGAGTCAGTCTGCCTAGGTTTGAATCCTAGCTCTACCTTCTTCAGCTGTGAGACCCTGGGCCCGCTTCCGCATCTCTAAAGTGGAGATAACAGTGCCTGCCTCAAAGGGTTAGAGGAGTCAATAAGATAACCCAGGTACAGCACTTAGCAGTGTATCTGGCATACAGTCAGCATTCAATGCATCAGCCATTAGTATCTGTGCGGGGGTCAAATATGTTTGCATATGCTCAGGTTGTAGGCCTGACCCCCAGTGGGGGGCATGCAGGAGGCGGCCAATCGATGTTCTCTCTCATTGATGTTTCTATCTCTCTCCCTCTCACTTCTTCTCTCTCTAAAATCAATAAAAGGAAAAAAAAATGCTGATAAAAAAAAGAATTAAAAAAGTTTTAACCTTAAGGAAACTATAGTATGCTTTGCCCTCACTTAATATGCGCTGGAGATTATTCACACACATGCACACATACAATCAGAGGCAGCTACCAAACACAAATGAGGTCCCAATCAAACACTATTAGATTTAATACGAGATGCTCTCTTCTCTACTCTGCACACTTAGATACTGTTTAAATTCTTAACAAGGAGTGACGGTTACTTTTTAAATAAAGAAAAAAATAAAAATCCAAACCTCTAACCTTAACAAAACTAAGTTCTGTCAAAAACTCACACGTAGGGGGCTAAATGGAACCCACTGGGCTTGGTGGGCCAGGCAGTCCCTGGCTGATCGGGCTCCATGTTATGGGACAGATAGTGCCAGGAAAGGGGCTGAGGACAGGGCAGTCCGGCCTGGTCTTGTCCTACCCAGGCTCAGGGGTGGGGACCAGGGGCTGACATTTAAGGCAGGAGCTGCCAAAGCCCAGTTCCAACTCTGCCCCTTCCCCGATGGGAACCTCGGTGCTGCCAACACTCCTACCCCATCTGCCAGGAGACAGGCCTGTCCGACTGTCTGCCTGGCAGCCAGCGGTGTGGCCACATGGGGCAGGCAGCTAAGAAAGCAGCCTGGGCCCCTCGCTCTGGCCCCCACGCCTTGGTTTACAAGAACCTGGTATGTGTGTGTGAACAGAACTCTGTGCAGGAACTCAGCCCTTGCTCCCCAGCATGGCCCTCGGACCTCGCGGGAGAGTGACGGCCACCACAGCAGTGTCATCATAACATCTGCCACTCAGAGCTCACTGCCCGGCAGCTTTGTGGCTTCCACCTGGGTCCTTCCCGCCACGTCAGGAAACAGGGCAGCACAAAGCCTAGTTTACAGATGAAGATGCTGAGGCTCCCAGAGGTAAAGCCATCTGCCCACGGTCACAGAGCTAGTGAGTGGCAGACCAGACAACCCAAGACTGTCTATTCCCGGAGTCAGAATTCAAACCTGACCTGAGAGCCAATGCGGGGAGTGCTTAAGAGCATGAGCTCGGGACCCAGGCAGCGTGGGTCCACGTCCATGTCTGCCACAGGGGGACCCTGACCAGTGGCTCTCCCCCTGGGCCTCACTGTCCTCGTCTGCAGAATGAGGATCATGCAGGGACCCACATCATGGACTGTTGGGAGAATGTGGAGGGGCAGTGCACGTGAAGCACGGAGGACAAGGCCTGGCAGGAATACACACTAACAGCAGCAGCTATCGCCGCGACTATTTTGGGTTATACCATCCTTCGCTCTCCCTCCACGACAGGAAGGGCCTTGGGAAGGGGCCAGGCAAACCCTGCTGGTCACGGCCTCTCCCTCCAGCCGCAGGTGAGGGCCTCAGGCCCGAGTGCCTATACTGGCAGCCCTGCAAGGACCTGGGCCCAGGGCAGAGTCCGTGCATGGCCTGCGTGTGCGTGAGGACAGAGAAGGGCTGCTTGTGGTTGCAACCCTCACGGTGGGCAAACACTCACAGGGCGGACTGAATGCGACAGGGGACAGTGGACGGACGTCACTGGCCCCTCCCCCAGTACCAGGCCCAGCACTGCCTACTCTATGCGCAACCTCATCGAGCCCACGCCGGTCCTGTGGAACTGGAATTCCCGAGAGGAAAACAGGATGTGAGAGAGGCCACCTGCCCAGGATTTCACAGCTGCCGAATGGCCTGGCCAGGCCAGGACCAAACCAGGCCTCCCTCAGGCTTCTCTCTCCTCCTTGCTTGACTTCCCACCTGGTCATCACGCACCACACTCTGTAATTTACTGAGGCATCTGTGCACTGTCTCCCTCCCCCACGGGAATGCCGTCCCACAGGTGGTTCCCCCGCCCTACTTACGGCTCATGTCCCCTGGGTGCCCAGCACAGGCTGCCAGAGGGTGGTGCTGTGGGAATCTCTCTGGGTGGATAAAGCCCCAAGCTGAGGCCGAGCCTCAGGCCCCACCTGGGCGGACTGGAGGCCAGCTCTGCGGGTGCAGGGTGGGGAGTGGACAGAAAAGGCACGAAGCCAGTTTCGAACTCACTGGAAAGGAGCCACTGCAAAAACATCACACCCTGACCCAGCACCTCCGCGCCCGTCTCGTGGCTCTCACAACGTGCAATGCAATCTGGTATTTTAAAAATTCATCCTACACATTCTATTTTCCTCCTCATCAACAACATAAAAATACTGGCCCTAAGCTGAGTTCGCAACTCATGAATGGGTCCGACTCAGTCCAAGCTGTTACTGAGATCCCAGAGGCAGCCTGGCTGTGGCCGGAGCGGCTGACACCTCACCCTGCCAGCTCTGGAGGGTGTTCTGGGCGAGTCCCTTAACCTTTCTATGGCCGCTTCATCTGTGAATGGATAACAGCGCCTTCGTCACAGAACTGTCACGACATTTAAGTTAGCGAACGTACATGAAAGGACATAGAAAATGCCCAACAAACAGTATTTCCAACATGATAGAGATTTCTGTCAATATGAGCAATTGTAGTCAATACTAGTGTTTGATTGTCACAGTCACTTCATCTAGTAGTTCCCCACATGTCATACAATAGTGTGACACAGTATGAGCTGTCCCCTCACATTCTGCCCTGGTGCTCATCTGGTTGGAAAGGCGAGGAGGGGGAGGAGGGTGCTGGGGAGACAGGGGTCAGTGACCACCTGTGAGCTGGGACACGAGGATCTGGGGCTGCCTCCCCTCGGCTGCCACAAAGCTTCTGTCATCACATCCTCCTCAGTGGGACGGTCCTCATGAGAGCTGGGGCTGGGTCCTGGGTGCAGCATCTACCGATCTGAATGAGGCCCAGGCATGGCTGGCCCCACACACCACGTCTGGGGAAGACCAGGACCAAGGGGCTGTGCAAGGCTGAGGGAGACCCACTTTGGGGGACTTTCCCAGCTGATAACTGGCCCCTTTCTGGAAAGGTGCTTTGGAAATCTCCATTGTTTTTGCTTGCCTAGCTCCCTTTTTCTGTCAAGGACCACCTGGCTGCCTCCTCCAGGTGGCTCCGATGGAGCTGTCAATCACAGTGCCCTGCCTTGCCCCTGGACCCTGGGTGGAATGTATTATCATAAATCCTCTATCATCTCTGATGACAATGGCTCGCCTAGGCCGTGGACCTGTGATCCAAGGAGGAATGTAAAAAGATGTAGAAGAATTGAGTGTCCAGTCTTCATTTTCCCATGACATGAAGAGTGTTTGTTGGAGACAAAAGAGAATGACACTCAATGTAAAAAGAAGCTGAGCAGAACAGAGCAGAGTTCTCCGGTGACATCATTGGAGTGCCTGGGGCCAGCCATGCCAGAAACTAGCCCTACCCCTGGATCTGCAGATACACAAACCAGTGAATTCTCTTTCTGGCTTAAAACGTTAGAAGATTTCTGATACTTATAACCTAAGAACCTAATCAAGCAGGGTGCTCCTCACAGGCTTCATCCCTAGCCACCACTGACATGCAATCCAGAGGAAGACCTCTGACCCAGCCAGGACAATGGGACTCTCCAGTCAGGACACACATTTGCGCGGGGAGTGTTTTGAGCCTTGAGCATCAACAGTAGTGCTTTGGGCTGCGGTTTCCCAATCCCTGCCCTGCCCAGGCACGTTGCCTTACTTCTTCCTTCCTCTCTGCAGGACATCTCATGGTCCTGAAAGAATCCTCTACACATCTCCTTTTCTTTCTTTTTTTTTAAAATCCTTACCCAAGGACATTTTTACATTTATCTTCAGATAGAGCGGGAGGGAGAGAGGGGAAAAGAGAGTGAGAAACATCGATGTGAGAGAGACACATCGAATGGTTGCCACCCACACGACCAGGGCCGGGGACAAACCGCAACCAAGGTACGTGCCCTTAGCGGGAACCGAACCCGGGTTTCTGACCCATGGGCTGACGCTCTAACTGCTGAGCCAAACCAGCCAGGGCACATCTCCCTTTATTTCTTATGCTAACCAGAGTTAATCTCTTCTTGCCAATAGAAGAATCCAGGGCTCTGCAGCGAGACACGTCAGATTCCAATTCTGGCCTGGCCACTCGTTCACTGATCTTAGACGTATTTAATTGCTCTGAGTCTTAGTTTTTTTCCCCTGTAAAACAAGGAGACTGAGAGGCTCACGCTCGTGAGGTTGTTGGGAGGATCACAAGAGATGAAGCGCTTGCCCATAGATCCTGGCACAGAGGAAGGGTGCACAGATGTGAGCTGCTATTATTTATGCAACAGTAGCATAGTGACAGGACTTACCTCGCGGGTCCGGAAGATGATCCTGTACTGGTACTGAGGCCCATGGTCCTTGTGGTCCTCCAGCTTCTCCCGCTTGATGCTCACGGCCACCGGCCCTAGCTTCTCATCCACGCCAAAGTAATTGGCATGCTCTGTGACAGAAGAGTAGGTGAGTTCAGAGTCAGCTCTTGGTGAGGTCCCACGGCAGGCCTGCTGAGGGCCAGCTCCCAGGCCTGGTCATGGCCATACTCAATGGAGAGACCATAAGAGGCGACAGCCCGCCTTTCCACACCACGCCTGCCAAGTCACACAACTTTTCTGAGCCTCAGTGCTCTCTGAGAAATGGGGGCCCTGACATTGCCCACAATTCACAGAGCTGATGGGAGGGTGAAATGAAGCTACAAATATGAAACGTGCAATGTGGTACACGGCGTGTTCAAACCCAGCCTCATCGTGATCACCCTATATTTGCAAATGTTCACTAGTTTAGCTGCCAATTAATTGCCTCTCATGAAGTGGCTAAGACTCTAGTAGTTAAGATTCTAGCCAGAGAGCCTCCTGGCCAGCTGAAACCCCGACTCTGGCCATGTCAGATGCGTGGCCCTCACTTGGGAGCCTTCTCATCAGTAAAATGGGATCAGTAAGGATGGAGCCCACTTCTCAGTACGACTGTGAGAATTAACAAGTTAAAAAGTGCTGCACACTCAGCACAGAGCCAGGCACACACGGCCAGCGAGAGCAGTGCCAGCTACCCGCCCCCCACCAGGGCATGTTCATCACAGAAAAGGGACAATGATTTAAGTCCCTAAGCATCACCTTTATCTGATCACATTTCTATAGACCTAGAAATCTCAACCTCTCCTGTTTTTCCCGGCACTGAGTGGAAGAAGTCTCGCCCTCTCTCCCCCTTTTTCTAAAACATGTTGCTGTTCCTGGCCTGTTTGGCTCAGCGGTTGAGCGTCGGCCTGAGGACCAGAGAGTCCCGGGTTCAGTTCCCACTAGGGGCACGTACCAAAAAAAAAACCAGACATTTCAGCCCTGGCCGGTTTGGTTCAGCGGTTAGAACATCTGCCTGCGGTCCGGAGAGACCCGGGTTCGGTTCCCGCTAAGGGCATGTACCTCGGTTGCAGTTTGTCCCCGGCCCTGGTTGGTCGTGCGGGTGGCAGCCACTCGATGTGTCCCTTTCACATTGATGTTTCCCTCTCTCTCTCTTCCTCTCTCTCCCTCCCACTCTATCTGTGCAAAAAATGGAAAAAATGTCCTCGGGTGAGGATTAAAAAAATAAATAAATAAAAAATAAATAAAACATGTTGCTGTTTTATAACCCTTCCAGGCAAACAGTTCTTTCTGATGTATAACCCAAGTCTCTCCTGCCCGTGATGGGTACCTGCCAGCAGTCTGACTTGACTGAAGTCCACGGAGTCAGCATCTACCCTCTGCCAGAATTCCTCCCCACCCCACTGAACTGGCATTGCCTGTTCTCATCAGATGCTCTTGCTGAATCAAAGGATTATCTAAGGCCCAAATAATGTGTGCTAATTAATGACCACAATCAGAACAGCACCTGCAGTGGGTTAAATAATTTCCCCAGCTGGTCTGAAAACAGAATAAATACTATACCCCACAAATACCAGTTCATTCCGAAAGCAGTTGCTGGATTTTTCTTTTCCTTTTTTTTAATCCTCACCCGAGGATATTTTTTGATATTTTATTCAGATAAAGTGGGAGGGAGAGAGAGAGAGAGAGAGAAACATTGACATGAAAGAGACACATCGAGTGGTTGCCACCCACACAACCAACCAGGGCCGGGGACAAACTGCAACCGAGGTATGTGCCCTTAGTGGGAACCGAACCTGGGTCTCTTCAGACCACAGGCCAATGCTCTAACCGTTGAGCCAAACTGGCTAGGGCTTTTCTTTCTTTTTTTAAGAATGTTTTTTATTGATTTTCCAGTGAGAGAGGAAGGGAAAGAGACAGAAACATCGATGTAAGAGAGAAACATTGATTGGCTGCCTCCTGCATGCCCCCTACTGGGGATTGTGCCGACAACCTGGGCACGTGGCCTGATGGGGGAATTTGTGTTTTTAATCCACCAATGCATACCCAGTACCTCCCAGTAAGCACTCAAAGAATAATGATTAATTTATGAGTTTCTAAGACTATAAAGAAATATTTTTTTTAAAGAAAACTGCTTTGGTCCTGGCTGGTTTGGCTCAGCGGTTAGAGCGTTGGCCTGCGGTCCGGAGAGACCCGGGTTCGGTTCCCGCTAAGGGCACGTACTTCGGTTGCAGTTTGTCCCCGGCCCTGGTTGGGTCGTGCGGGTGGCAGCCACTCGATGTGTCCCTTTCACGTTGATGTTTCTCTCTCTCTCCCTCCCACTCTATCTGTACAAAAATTGGAAAGATGTCCTCAGGTGAGAATAAAAAAAAAAAAAAAAAGAAAGAAAATTGCTTTGCCTGGCCAGTGTGGCTCAGTGGATGAGTGTCAACCCACGCATCAAGAGGTCACTGGTTTGATTCCCGGTCAGGGCACATGCTCAGGTTGTGGGCCTGATCCTCAGTGGGGGGCATGCAGGAGGCGGCCAATCGATGTTTTCTCTCACCGATGTTTCTATCTCTCTCTCCCTCTAACTTCTCTCTTTCTCTAATATCAATAAAGAAAAAAAAATTAAAGAAAATTGCTTTTTGCTCTGGCCGGTCTGGCTAAATGGTTAGAGCATCGGCCTACAGACTGATGGATCTCGGGCTCGATTCCTGGTCAAGGGCATGTATCTGGGTTGCAGGTTTGATCCGTGGCCCTGGTCGGGGTCATGTGGGAGGCAACCAATCAATGTGTTTCTCTCACATCAATGTCTCTCTCTCTCTGTCTCTCTCTCTCCCCCCCTCCCTTCCACTCTATCTAAAAATCAATGGGAAAATATGCTCAGGTGAGGATTAACCAAAAAAAAAAAAAAAAAAGAAAATTGCTTTTTAAAAAAGTTCCATGATGAGTACCAACCACCAGCCTGATGAAGAGCTACGTGTGACTAATGCACAACCTTATTTGATCCTCACCAGTCCTTTCGTGTGAATATTTCTATGTGTGAGTTGAAAAGAATGTGTTCTTTGTTGGTAAGGTACAAAATTAACATGTATAGCTGCACACAAATGTATATGTAATATGTATACAAAATTAATATGTATTAATATCAAAACCCAGTTTTTTTATCCTCACCCGAGGATATTTTTCCATTTTTTGTACAGATAGAGTGGGAGGGAGAGAGAGGAAGGGAGAGAGAGAAACATCGATGTGAAGGGACACATCGAGTGGCTGCCACCCGCACGACCAACCAGGGCCGGGGACAAACTGCAACCGAGGTACGTGCCCTTAGCGGGAACCGAACCCGGGTCTCTCCGGACCGCAGGCGGACGCTCTAACCGCTGAGCCAAACTGGCCAGGGCAAAAACCCGGTTTTTTGATGGATTATTCAAATCCACTTCCGCCTATTGCTTTGGATCCGTCAATTTCAACAAGAGGCCCTGTCAGCTTCTCCCACTGATTGTGGATTCGTTCACTTCTCCCCGTAACCATATCAGTTTTAATTCATATATCGCTAAGCCAGGTTGCCAAGTATAAAGGTTCACAACTGCCCTGGCCAGTTTGGCTCAGCGGTTAGAGCGTCGGCCTGCAGTCCAGAGAGACCCAGGTTTGGTTCCTGCTAAGGGAATGTACTTCTGTTGCAGTGTGTCCTGGCCCTGGTTAAGTCGTGCGGTGGCAGCCACTCAATGTGTCCCTTTCACGTTGATGTTTCTCTCTCTCTCTCTTCCTTTCTTTCCCTCCCACTCTGTCTGAATAAAAAAAATGGAAAAATGTCCTTGGGTGAGGAAGAAAAAAAAAAAAGGTTTACAACTATTAGAGTTTCTCGGTGAATTTAAAAATACTGGCATGAAATGGCCTTTTCAGTTCCTCCTAAAAGAGCTTTAGCCTTAAAATCCATTCTGTGTGATACTGATGCTGGCTTACCTGCATTTTCTTGTTTAGCAATTGTCTGAAAATTCTTTTTTCATCCCTTTATTTTCAATTTCTGTCATTTTGTTTTTGGGCATGTGATTCCACTACAATCATGTCCATTCCTCACACAAGGACAGAGTCCAGGGGGAAATGTGTCACATAGCTAGTAAGCGATAGAATGAAAACCCAGGGCTGCCTGAGACTGCACTCTGAGCCCTGTGGGATAACCTAATTGATATTTGTTATGTTTGAGTAGGACAGGGCTTTAAAAAAATTTTAAACTAGTTGCTGTGGAGTATTAGCTGCCTATCTGTTTTTCCCTTTTAAGAAAACACTCTAATATTGGGGGAAGAAAAGAGAGGGGCTGTGTCTAGCTAAAAACCTGTATTTCCCAGCCTGCCTTGCAGATCGGAGCAGACAATAAGTGGAAACAGTTGGATGGGGTTTCTGAGAAAACTCTTTAAAGGGGGCTGACTTGACAGGAGTTCTGCCTTTTTGCCCTTACCCTGTCCTCTTTTTCCCTACCTGGAAACATGGATGAAATGGCTGGCGCTCCAGCAGCCATCTTGGACCAGGAGACCACCTAAGGGCTGGAAGCCATGCGCTAAGGTTGGCATTCTACTGATGCTGCAATACTAGCTCTGGACTGCTGACCTATGAACTTCTTCGCAAGAGAAATAAACTTCTATGTTGTGTAAGCCTATTACTGGTAGTTGTAAGCAATTCTGAATTGATACAGCTGCCAGCATGTAAATATTAGAAGAATCCACATTAAAAAAAGATCTGAATTTCAGGAGAATCTTGACAAAAATCAGTAAGGCTGGCAGCCCTGGGTTTGTCTGCATTTCCTGCATGACAACAATGAGCTGCACCTGAGCAGGAGCTGCCCTGTGCTCAGTCCCTGCTTGGTGTGCTTGCCTTCTTATGTGTCCTGCCTGGGTATGTGGTCTCTGCACCATGCTATGTTGCCTCGTGGGACTACCCCACCAGCACCAATGAACCTAATGATGCAGGAAGCCTGTCTCTCCTGGTGTTAATGCTTCTAAAAATCAACAACTCCACCTTCCTAGAGGATTTAGAATCTGCCTGTTTCTTCCCCACCCCCATCCTAGATGTGTCCATCATCATCTCCTCCTTAGTCTCTCTACCTCCAGAGGGAGGCTGTGAACACCCAAGTCAGATCGGGGCCCTCTCCTGCTCAGAACGCTCCTGCAGCTCCACCGCACTTGGGGTAAAAGTGAGAGTCCTCACCATGGCCCATGAAGTCCCACATGATCTGTCCCTGTCATCTGTCTGTTTCGGCTCCTTCGCTTCTCCCCCAGTCACTCATCCCAGCAACAATGGTCTCCTTCCTATTTGGTGTTACCGGGCCATTGTACTTGCTGTTCCATGTTGGAAACACGGTCCTAGTCTCCCCCCGGCTCCCTCTCCATCAGCTTGGTACTCAATGCACCTACCAGGAGGTCCCCCCTGACCCTTCCCTGCTGAAAATTGCAACCTCCCATCCTGATACTTCTCTCTTCGCTGCTCTACTTTATCCATAGCACTTACCACCCTATGATACCTTATTTATTTTATCTATTCATCTAGTTTTATTGTTTGCCTGACACCTCTAAGACATTAAGTGCTAGGAAGACAAGGCTTTTGTGTTTAACTGGTCGATACTACATGCCCAGGCTCTGGAGCACCTGACACATAGGCGAACCAGGCACAGGTTTGCTAAGGACATGCGTGTCTGTGTCTCACACAGCTCAGGGTTTGGGAGTGTCCCGAGGCTCAGTGAATCCTCACAGCCCTGCTCCTGTGGCTCCCGCACACAGTGAGTGAATGAGCAGGGGTCTCAGAGACAAGCCCGCCTGTCCCGCCTCGTCACCTTTGCCCACGAAGTAGTCCTGGTAGTAGCGGGCGCCCAGGTCCACGTGCTCGATGCTGTACTGCCGCGGGCGGCTCTGCGTCCTCTGCTGCTCCTTGGGCACCTCCAGCACCGAGATGCTGGCGTTGGTGCGGTAGGAGCTGAGGGCGGGCTCGGCCAGGCGGCTCTCACTGCCGCCCGGGGAGCCGGCCGAGGCCCGGGAGAAGCTCACGTTGCGCTCGCACTCGCCGCCAATCTCGTTGCGAAAGTGCGGGCAGCTGAGCAGCAGGTCGTTGCTGTTGTCGTCGCCCAGGTCCTGCTCCAGGTTCTCCTTGCAGTTCAAGTCCTCCATGCTGGCGAAGGCGGGGTCCAGGCCCCCGAGGCCGTGGGCCCGCGACGCGGTGAGGGACTCCATGGCCGAGGCGGCCGAGGCGCCCGTGGTGGTGTTCCGCCTCTGGGCCGTGGACACCCTGTTGGCGGCCGCCTCGTGCAGGTCGAACAGCATGCTCTGCACATCGAAGTGGGCGAAGCTCTTCTGGCAGACCCACGGCCTGCTGGCCTCCGGGGGGCTCCGCCCTTCCTCTGCCTCCCCTGGGGACCGGCCCGTGTCACCTTCCGGTTTACTGCTCCTCAGCTTCCGGAAGATGGACGAGTCCACTGTGTCCCCACTGCCCAGACCCCGCACAGGCTTCTTGCGGGCCCTCTCCTTGTCCTTCCCGGGTGGGAAGAGGCTGTCCCTGGTGGGCTGCTCGTTGCGGAGGTCCCCCTTGGCTCCGCTGATGCCCCCTGAGAGGTGCGGGCTGGAATCGGCCTGGAGGAGCTCGGCGAGGTGCTGGGAGCCCCGGACCTCGGGCTGCTCGTTCCGGAACTCGTTGAGAATGTCAAAGAAGCTCTGCTCAGGCATGCCCTGCACATCGATGGAGGATGTGCTCCCGTACTCGCGGAAGAGGGGCAGGGCCCCTGCGAACCGGCACCCCCGAGGCTCGCCCACGTCCTCCACATCACACTCGCTGAGCGTGATCTCACTGCTGCTGCGGTGCCGCAGCGGGAGGAAGGCCCTGCCGGGGGACCGGGGCCACCCATCCTGGAATTCCACATCTTTGGACCTTCTCCTGGAGAGTCGGTGGAAGGCTTTGGACCCTGAGGAAGCTGGGGTGCTGGCGGGCGGCTGTCCATTCTGTATGTCCCTCATGGGATGGGCCACCTTTGTGGCCTTTGTGCCATCTGTGTCCTGTGAGGGGCTTGGGTTGTTCTGCTCTCTCAGGGCCTCCCTCTTGGGTGGCCAGTCGGCCACTCTTGCACGCACGCCCATCTTGGGCACTGCAGGGGTGGTGGGACTGGGGCGGGTGGTGGCGGTGGCTGGGCTCTCACCGACAGGCTGAGGCATGCCGCCGTTCTGGACCCAGAATCCCATGGGGGCATAGTCCCCCGTGTGCGGCCCAGGGAGGACGTCGGCTCCCCTGGCCCCACAGCTGGCTGTCAGGTCCACACCATCACTGGGAATGGGCCGATAAGTGGTCATAGTCCACAGGCACTGGAATGCTACTGGCCCCTGTAAGCTGTGCAGTCACTTTAGGGTCCTCTGGCCCTCAGCCATTGTTCAGGGCTGCCAGTCCCAGGATGAAGGAAGCTGGCTCCTGAAGCCTGACAGGAAGGCTGTGAGTCTGTGGGGTCCAATTCTCCACCATCGCTGTGGGAAACCGAGCCAGGGCCACCTCAGGAGGCAGGTGTCCCGGGGACGCCAGCCTGAGGGGCTCAGCGGGGCAGAGCGCACAGCAGATGGGGCCGCGGGCCGGCAGGCTGCAGGGGTGCCATGCTGGAAAGGGAGAAAAGGCAAAGGTGAGATGATGCACTGCGCCCAGAGAGTGACTTTCTTTTTGACAGCTTCACTCACTTAAAATGCCTTTTTATTACGGAAATTTCCAAACATACCCACAAGCAGAGAGAAGACCTTGAAGAGACACCCCACCAGCTTCAATGGCCATTTACTAGTCGTCTCCCCTCATCCGTGAGAGATGCTTCAAGACCACCAGTGGAACCCTATGTATTATGCTTTTTCCCGCACATATACACCTATGATAAAGTTTAATTTATAAATCAGGCAGTTCGAGATGAACAATAAGTTATAATAAAAATAAAACACTCCTAATATATTCTAGTAAGTTACGTGAATATGCTCTCTCTCAAAAGGCCTCACTGGACTGTACTTACCTCGTGATGCTGAGAGGAAGCCTCTGTGATTAGATGAGGGGAGGGGCCCCGAGTGGCCACAACTGGACACTCACGAACGGTGTCTCTATGAAATTTCCCATTTCATATTTCATATTTCTGCACCGTGGTTGACCACGGGTAACTGACACTGTGAATAAGGGGGGACTACTGTATCTGCCACTTCTGTTTTATCTACCCACTCCTGCACTGTTTTTGAGAGAATATTTTAGAGTAAATCTCAGATAGCAGCTCATTTCACCTCCATGAATATTTTCGCTTATATCTCTAGGAGATGAGGCTTTTAAAAATACAACCATGACACCTTTATCACACCCATCAAATGAACAAGAATTCTTTAGGACCACGAAGCACCCTGTCTGCACTGCATTTCCCGTCATCTCAAAGGTGTCTTTGAGGTTGGTTTGTTCAAACCAGGATCCACACACACAAGGCCCATACTCCACTTTGGCAGACATATTTCTTTTTAAAAATTAATCCTCACTAGAGGACATTTTTTCCATTGACTTTTAGAGAATGGGAGGAGGGGGAGGGAGAGAGGGAGAAAGGGAGACAGAGGGAGAGGGAAACATCAACGTGAGACACATCGATTGGTTGCTTCCCGTATGTGCCCCAACCAGGGCCAGGATCGAACCTGCAACCCAGGTACATGCCCTTGACTGGAATCAAACCTGTAACCGTCTGGAGTGTGGGCCAAGGCTCTAACCACTGAGCAACGCAAGCCAGGGCTGGCAGGTATATTTCTTGTCTCTTCTACTTTGCAGTGCCACTCCCTTTGCGTGATGCTATTTATTTGTGGGACCACTTGTTCCCTGGAGTTTCGCACTTTGGGGACCTGTGCCCTGTGGTGTCAGTGAGCACAGTCCTCTGCCCTGGGTCCTGTCCACTGGTGGCTGTGCACAGAGGTTGGACTGCTGTCAGCCTGTCCTACAGTCCACCGGAAAGGCACCAGAAAGTCATCAAGAATGACAGCCCAGTCACCAGGAGCACTGGTGGATTGGGGGGAGGGACTGTCTCCAGAAACCTGCGTGATTACTAGACACCACGAGGCAGTAAATCAGCTGCCACTTCTTTCTGAGATCTCCTCGTGGGCTCTTGTGTTAGAATAAAATCCAAATTCCTTCTGCGGGCCCACAAGCCCCACAGGATTGGGCCCCTGCCAATCTCCACGACACCCCTCCCCATCCCTAACCAAGACCCCATCACACTGGCCTCCTTTCCTGTTCTTCCGACATAGCAACCCCCCCAGGCTACCTGGGCACCCCCATCCCTAACCAAGACCCCATCACACTGGCCTCCTTTCCTGTTCTTCCGACATAGCAACCCCCCCCCAGGCTACCTGGGCACCCTGCCTCAGTTCCTCACCAGGCTGGTTCCCTCCCGTGGGGTCGACTCTGTAATAACGCCCCACACCACCCTATGCAGACACTGAAGACTGGTCTCCTCAAAGCCTCTGTCACCTGCCCCTCTGCTTTCTTTTTCCACCAACTAAAATTATTTTGTTCATTATCTATTTATGGACTTTCTTCACTACTACCTCATCAGTTCCAGAACGGCGGGGCGTCTGTGTCGGTCACTATGTCATCGGTTCCAGAACGGCGGGGTGTCTGTGTTGGTCACTACGTCATCGGTTCCAGAACGGCGGGGCGTCTGTGTCGGTCACTATGTCATCGGTTCCAGAGGCAGGGGTGTCTGTGTTGGTCACTACGTCATCAGTTCCAGAGGCAGGGGTGTCTATGTCGGTCACTACGTCATCGGTTCCAGAGGCAGGGGTGTCTATGTTGGTCACTACGTCACCGGTTCCAGAGGCAGGGGTGTCTATGTCGGTCACTACGTCACCGGTTCCAGAGGCAGGGGTGTCTATGTCAGTCACTACGTCATCAGTTCCATGTAGCCCCAGCCCCTACAACAGTGCCCACGACTCTTCACTGTTGGTTGTATGAGTGAGTGAACAAATAGCTTCTAAGCTGATGTGTAAGTGCTCCCCGGCCTGCGGGGCTCTGGGGAAGGGAGGTCACGCTTCCCTGGCAACCCAAGGACTCTGCAGGATCATCTCCCTTTGTCTCTGCCTTGAACTTCTGAAGGACGAAACCCTCTTCTGGGGAGAGAGGAAAGTGACTCATGGCCTGTGGCAGAATCTGTTGGTTGTCCCCACAGTGGTGCTGTTCTCCTGCCAACAGACCGATCCTGCTCAGAGCAGCAGAGTGCTGGGCTGGCTGGGCATCTGGCTCAAGGTGACTTCCCCCTGGCTGACGAAACCGCAGCCTCACTGGGGCCTCTGCTCTTGCTCCTGCTCTTCTCCTAAGGGTCCCCATCCACACAGCAGGCAGAGCAACCCTGGGCTCTCCCCATCGCTCCAGGAGCCCAGGCCACAATGTCCTTCCTCAGCGCCCCAGATGCCTACCCTCCCTGCTGCCTCGGGGCCGCTGCACATGGCTTCCTGCTGCCCTTCCCTAACTGGGTAAGTCCTTCTCAGGACTGGGGACAGTGCCACTCTCCCCACATGACTTTCCCTCTCACCAACCTTGCTCAGTCTCCAACCGGAGCTCTCAGAGCACCCTGCTTTTCTCTTCGGGGTACCTGCATCAATGTATGTAAGTATTTAGCGTGTCATGAATTGTTGCCACATACAAGGTTTGGGCACTGAGTGAGTCCTGCGTCCCCAGTGCAGACCTGACGAACAGAAGCCATTACTAAATATCTGGTGAGTAAACAAATGGATGGACCAGGACGCACTGGCTCAGTGGGGGTTTGTGACCTGAGGGCAGGCAGGGCTTGCTTGGTGCCCAAGTTATCTGCCCCTGGGAAGAAGCTGAAAGTGACAAAGGGGGGCACTGCCTCTTTAAAGGCCTTTGTAGGGGGTCAGGGTGTCCAGGGCTTCCTCCAGGTGGCCTTCTGTGCCCAGGGCTGCCCTGATTTCTGCAGGAGTTTCTCCTGGTGGACATGTGATCTAGTCACAGTGACGGGCTCAGCGGGACCTAAGAGGCCTGGATAGTCAGGGCTGTGTCTGAGGGCTACTTTCAGAGGCCCAAGGGGAATGATGACTCCTCCAGGCAGGCAATGAGTAATTCCATTTCTGGGTACATACAAGTCATTTATTCGTCCAGTAAGAACTAGTCCTTACAACTCATTCATTCATAGAACGAACGCCTACTACATTCTTACAAATCATTCAGTCCCAAAACTTTATTCCGTTAAGAAAGCACTAAAGACTTACTCATTTACCAGGCATGTATAACTCATGCATTCATTCCACAAACACGGGGCACTTAAAACCCACCCATTTACTCAACGTGTTTCTTAGGCACCTACTACTGTGTGCTACTGTTGTAGGTGAGGACACAGCCCGAGCAGAGCAGACCACACTGTCTCAGGAACTTAGCTGCGGTAGAGGGAAGCCAGAGAAATGAGAAACAAAGACAGAAAACAAGGTAATTTCAAAGGTGGTCAGCAGTATAAAAGAAAACGTAAGGGGGAGGGCTACTCGTCTGTAGACAGGAAAAGGTGGGAAGGCCTGTTGTGGGGTGCTGTCTGACCTGGGGTCTGCGTGAGGAGCGGGCACCTGCCATGCACCAGGTGTGCTGATGGCGGGGCTGACAAGCAGGGGCAGGAAAGCTGGGAGTGGCCAGTGCACGAGGCCCCAAAGGGGTTGTCCCAAGCAGGGGTTCTCTCCGCAGCACCAGGGAGCTCTGTAAAAATACAGGTGTTCACACTCCACCCCCAGAGTCTGAATCAGCTGGTCTGGGGCAGGCCCAGGCCCAAGTGTCTTTTAAAAGCTCTGCAGCTGATTCTAAGATGTAGCCAGGGCTGAAGACAGAGGAAGGAAAGAGATGAAAGAGAAGTGGGCCTGACACCAAGCCCCAGAGGCTTCAAACCTGAGCACAGCTGAGCACACCTGAGCAGGCCCGGGCAGAGCAGGCCCAGGCAGACAGGCCAGCAGGTGCTGCGTAGGCCTGAGCGGTGGGTGTGGTCTGTGGGGTTCAATGTTGCTGAGAGGGTCATGCATGGTGGCAATTACTGGTCTGAGGGGCACTGGGGAGCTACTGCAGGAGGTATTTCAGGGGACTGCTGCTCCAGGGAGTCTTCCTTCCCTCCACATCCCCATCAGTCACTCACGTCTGCCCTTTGCTGTGCCCCCGGGGGTCTGCGCACATCCTGGACTAAGGAGTTAGCCCACTGGACTGTTAAACTTCTGAGTGTCTTTTGTCCTCCTTAGACTTTTTAATTATTTATTTTTTACTTATTTTTCAATCCTCACCCGAGGATATTTTTACATTTATCTTCGGACAGAGTGGGAGGGCGAGAGAGAGAGAGAGAGAGAGAGAGAGAGAGAGAGAGACATCGATTGGTTGCCTCCCGCACAATCCCAACGAGCTACGTCCCCTTGGCTGGAGTCGAACCTGCAACTCTTTGGTCCGCGGCCCAAGGCTCTGACCGCTGAGCCAAACCGGCCAGGGCTCCTTAGACTTTTTGAACAGCTTCAAGTCTGCAGTGGACTGGGGTCTATGACACGCGTTCTTGCCATATGTACGAAGTAGAGGGCGTAACTGTGCAGAAACTTCACATCTTTAATCTGACCCTTTCCTC